CTAAAGTCGGTCACAGACCTGAAAGATCCACCGTCTTTCGGTACTAGGAGACATGGGGAACTCCAGCTGCTGAAACTGGGCTCAATGATATCATTCTTGAGCATATAATCAATTTCATCTTTTATCAAAGCAGCTTTTTCCGGATTAACTCTATAGGGGTGTTGCTTAATGGGTTTTGCGTCACCTACGTCTACATCATGAGGTGGAACCTTCGCTTCCTTGGGGACATCCCCAAAAATAGAGGGAAATGTCTCGAATAACTGAGACAATCTATGGCTTTCCTCTGTGGACAAATGCATAAGGTGGACATTCAAATTATCTAAAAAGGAAGAATTTACCAATTTTGGGGGTTTCAATTTATCATGTATCACATCATCAGAAACATTTGAACATACAGGTAAAGTAATTTTAGCTGTGGAATGAAAATTGTTACAATTATCATAATACTTTTTCAGTGAGTTAACATGATACACTGTCTGTTTCTTTCTTCTGTCGGGCGTATTGACAACATAGTTCAAATCACTTAATTTTGAATGCACAGTAAAGGGTCCACAATATCTCAAGGATAACGCATTGTTCAGATTAGGCACTAGCACAAGAACTTTGTCGCCTGGATTGAATGTTCGTTTACAAGAACTCTTATCATACAGTCCTTTCATTCTCACTTGGGCCTTTCTTAAGTTCTTGTGAGCCATTTCGCACACGGCTTTCAGTCGAACGTGAAAATCGTCAAAGTTTTCCACAGGATGATCGCTGGTACCTGTCCACCGTTCGTGTATCAGCTTCAGGGGACCACGGACAGAATGTCCAAACACAAGTTGAAAAGGAGAGTAGCCTAAAGAGTCCTGGACACAGTCCCTCGCGGCGAAAATAATCCAAGGAACAGTCTCATCCCATTGGGTGTTACTGTTAGCGAACGTTCTTAGCATGGTTTTGAGGGTTTGGTGGAACCTCTCAAGTACGCCTTGAGACTGAGGGTGGTAGGCTGAGCTGGTGATGTGGGTAACGCCTAGCTTGGCTAGTGCTTCCTGAAAATGGTGACTGGTGAAGTTGCTGCCTTGATCTGTTTGCACGATTCTAGGTAATCCAAAGGTAGTGAAGAACCGGGTCATGGCTCTGACTACAGTCTTTGCCTTAATGTTCCGTAAGGGAATCGCCTCGGGAAAACGGGTACTTGAACACATAAAGGTAAGTAGGTACTCGTTGCCCGCCTTGGTTTTAGGCAAGGGACCTACACAGTCCATGACGATTTTAGAAAAAGGTTCTTCTAATACAGGAATCGGACTCAAAGGGGCCTTAGGAATTGTCTGGTTTGGCTTTCCGGCCAACTGACAGTTTGTGCAACTTTTACAGTAACGCGACACATCATTTCTCATTTTGGGCCAAAAGAACAGTTCTTTGATCTTCGCCGTCGTTTTAGAGACTCCTGGGTGCGCTGACATTGGATGGTCATGTGCCAGCTTAAGTATTTCATGCCGATAAGGTGGAGGGACCCACAGCTGGTTTTTACCCAACCATGGTTCGGCCGGTGAGGCATTCACTGGTATAGCGCGACGAAAGAAGAGGCCGTTCTCGGAGAAATATTCTCCATCGTCAGATGAGAGAGATTTTTCGACCGTTGCTTTGAGTTCCGCGTCGACTTGTTGAGCTTTAATGATGTCTTCCTGAGATATTCTCAGGGGTAAGCCCAGGCTTGTGTTTTCTGGAAGCATAGACTCCAGTTTGGGAGTCGAATTTCTTGACGATGATGGTAGGTGTGGTTCAGACGTTGTGTCAGCCAATTGTTTGGTCTGGCTTCTTGTAACCGCACATGCAGGATACAGTTCATTATCATTATCTGGAACTGTTGACAAAGGGTCTGAAACCGTACAGGGGTATACTTTGCTTCCCGCAAGGTCATTCCCTAAAAGTAGGTGTACTCCTGGGACAGGAATACTATCTATCACACCTAAAATGACTTCACCTTCGACGAGATGATGTTTCAGGGCAAACTTGTGTAGAGGGACGACAGTAGATTTTGTCCCTACTCCCTGGATAATGGAAATCCTTCCGGTGTTCGTCTCTGGTGAAATGTCCATTGAACTTTTCAAAAGAAGTGATTGTGACGCTCCTGTGTCTCTTAGGACGGTGATATTCCGCTGAGACAACGGATCACCTGGTTTGCTAATGATGGCTTCGGCAATAAAAGATGAAAAGTCAACTTTTCTCGATCCCTCGAGATCGGTAGACTCGGAAGAAACTGGATGGTGGCGAGAACAGTCAAAATGTGACTGCACATAATGTGTGGAGACTTGACTACCTTCTTGCGGACACTTAGGGTTAGAGTCCTTTAGAATTCTAGAGTTCATAGTTGAACTGGCTGCTTGAGGGGATAGAGCATAGTGCGCAGAAGTACGCACCACCTCTCTGTTATATTGACGACGTTTGTAACAGTCCTTGACAAGATGACCAGGTCTTTTGCAGAACTGGCATACCGCTCGACGATTGAGAGTTGATCTTGGGTTCTCTCTGGACTGTGATGCCTTCAAGTGTTGGCCAACAGGAGGATTGCTGCCAAAAAGGGGAAGCACGGGGTTGAGGCGGTTTCCTGACACTGGTGGTTTCTTATGCACCAACATATATGTGTCAGCCGACTCAGCAGCCTTCCGGATGTCAATTATCTTGTTATCCAGTATGTGTAGTCGTATCTCTTCAGGCAGGGACGATAGGAATTCTTCCCTTAGGATAAGTGACCTGAGTTTCTCAAACTCAGAAACTTCCTCCGAGTGTAGCCACCTTGAAAATATTTTCTCCTTTTCAAAGAGAAATTCCACATATGATTGAGTGGGTAACTTGCGGAGTGTTCGGAATTTTGTCCGATAGGCCTCAGGCGTCAGCTCGTAGGCCTTCAAAATGGCAGTCTTGACCAAACTATAGTTATTTTGAACGTCGTGAGAGAGTGCCTGGTATGTTTTTGCAGCTTTCCCAGTAAGGACCGAGCTCAATAAAGCAGTAATGGAAGTTTCGGGCCATTCACATGTCTTCGCTAAACTCTCAAATGAGTTAAAGAAAACGACCAAATCTGTTTCATCAAATTTAGGAACTAATTTCCCGAATTTGACAATCACTTGCCCCACCGACAACTTTTTTGGATCTACCAGAGAAGTAACATCACTAACTTGACCAAATTCTGATTCCAACCTCCTCCTATCTAAAGCAATTTTAACCTCTAACTCCTGTTCTTTTAATGCCTTCTCTAAAGCAACTTTCTCCTCCCGGAGTAATACACCAGCCAACAAACTTTCATCAAATACCCCTTCATTAATAAAATGAACAACAATTTTATCCCTCAACACCTCTGACTTCTGCGTAACAGAATAATCCAATTTCAATTCCTTAACAAGACTAATCAAAACTTTTCTACTCAACTTCTCGACCTCCTCAAAAGTGGGATTAGCCAAAAAAGACTCCATAACACTAACTTTCAAAAACACAACAAGCCTAGATTCACTAACTTAACACTGAGCGTTGGGCCGTGTACTTGACCTCTTATCGTGACACGTCTGGCTGTTGACCTAGATACCTCTAGGCTTGTGCGCGCTGTAAGAACACGGCGCACTGGATAGAAAAACAACCAAATCAAACTAAACTTAGTGCTTACTGATATAACCAACAACTGGAACGACAGATTAAATCTCGGCGAGCCCCCACTTTGTAACGTCCCCTATCTATCAGCCAGATAGAAGGAGAACGTCCCCGGATTCTTTTTTCGGGGTTATATGCAAATGCCTTACGGCCTAAATGGATGAACACTAACACAACGGCACACTAGGGCTCGAATTCGATGTCTAGGGAAAACTAGTGATACTATTGAAATTAACACTCATCCAATCTGCATACAACCTTTAATAAGCGAACACAGTTGTGGCAGAACACAAAGTTAAACTAGATAAAATATTTAATGTATAAAATATCAAAACCTAACTTACAAAATGTAAGAAAAAACACTATCACAGATTTCACCACTGTAAAAACTAGCCACAGGCCACACAACACTGCTATAGCTTCAAGAATTACTTGGCGACAAGTAATATTATACTAGAAGACTAAATCAACTTAAGAAAGCAAGGCACACACAGGACTTAAGTTCTCTCACGTTCAAATGGTCAGAATCTATTGCCGGACAATATGGACGGCTTGGTCGTAATGGACCGTTTGTTCCAGGTAGACTCTTGATCAAGGTAAAACTGCCACGTGTGGCGAGTGTGCGGGGCAATTAAAGACTTCTGCCACAGGGGAGGTCATCCTCAACTCATGTAGCCATTGGTTGGGAGGGTCATATGATCAGAATCATTCAATCAGATCTTAATGGAAAATTTCTTAGTCTTAGACACCCTTAATACGACAGTGGAAAATCCCCAGGAGTTGCACAATCATTCCATATAAGGTATTATACAATGTCAAAATACAAATGGAACCTGACTCGACCTAAGTAGGTCACAGGTCTAAACTCTTATGTTAGATGTACAAATTAACATTACCGTTAAAGGGCTGAGGTCTAAACTCTTATGTTAGATGTACAAATTAACATTACCGTTAAAGGGCTGAGGTCTAAACTCTTATGTTAGATGTACAAATTAACATTACCGTTAAAGGGCTGAGGTCTAAACTCTTATGTTAGATGTACAAATTAACATTACCGTTAAAGGGCTGAGGTCTAAACTCTTATGTTAGATGTACAAATTAACATTACCGTTAAAGGGCTGAGGTTCAAACTCTTATGTTAGATGTACAAATTAACATTACCTTTAAAGGGCTGAGGTCTAAACTCTTATGTTAGATGTACAAATTAACATTACCGTTAAAGGGCTGAGGTCTGAACAGGTTCATAGCAAGTGTGAGATCTATGGGGGAAAGTCTAACAAGACAAAACCATGGCTAAGCTTACAATCTAAGAGCGCTAATGTTGACTTGCCCATGCTTTCATATGAGCATATTTTGTTGTCCACATGTTGACATAGTCTGACTGGCGAGATGGGGAAGCACTTTACAACCTGGTGTGTCAGTCTGGAGGCCAAATAAAGGGAGAGTACAAGACTCAAGGGACACCACTAGAGCTGACACTGATTGGTGAGTTTCCTCGCCTGTTTGGGCCACATTCGGGCCAAATATAAATTCATTCGGGTCAAATATTAGTTCATTCGGGTCAAATATTAGTTCATTCGGGTCAAATATTAGTTCATTCGGGTCAAATATTAGTTCATTCGGGTCAAATATTAGTTCATTCGGGTCAAATACTAGTTCATTCGGGTCAAATATTAGTTCATTCGGGTCAAATATTAGTTCATTCGGGTCAAATATTAGTTCATTTGGTCTTTGAGTGTGACACAGGTCCTTATGTCACTCTGTTAGTTTGTACCCTGGGTCACTGGTCACTCTGTTAGTTTGTTCCTTCCAGTTTCTGTTATGCTGATCGTCGAGGACATTGTCCTGTACCTTAATTATTGAGGACATTGTCCTGTACCTTAATTATTGAGGACATTGTCCTGTACCTTAATTATTGAGGACATTGTCCTGTACCTTAATTATTGAGGACATTGTTCTGTACCTTAATTATTGAGGACAGTGTCCTGTATATTTGCTATATTTAGCCTTGGAGTCTGGCCGCCATCTTGGAGTGGAGCCACTGCTGACAGGAGAGCAGATTGTTGAGGCGGGCAGCGGGCATCTGGGCATGATGGCATACACTGCCCAGTACCTGAGCCTACCACACGTGGCAACCCCACCCCACGGGGCGCCATACAGCTTGCCACATCGGCTGGACGACCACCGGACACACAATGGAGAGCATAGTCAGGAAGATTTCCGTAGTGGCAACAACGACATCACAATGGTGAACCACACCCACTACAGCGAATACAAGGACATGAAACCGTTAAAGGTGAAGTACGGGGGGGGGGGGATAACTATGGAGAAGGGATGCCATGCTGCAGGAGAAAAGTTTAGGTTTAGGGGGAAAGTTTAGGTTTAGGGGGAAAGTTTAGGTTTAGGGGAAAGTTTAGGTTTAGGGGGAAAGGGTTATGTTAAGGGGAAAGTTAAGGTTTAGAGGAAAAGTTTCGGTTTAGGGTAAAGGGTAAGGTTTAGGGGAAAGTTTAGGTTTAGGGGGAAAGTTTAAGTTTAGGGAAAAGTTTAGGTTTAGGGAAAAGTTTAGGTTTAGGGGATAAAGTTTAGGTTTAAAGGAAAGTTTAGGTTTAGAGGGGAAGTTTAGGTTTAGGGGAAAGGGTTAGCTTTAGGGTAAAGTTTAGATTTAGGGGAAAAGTTTAGGTTTAGGGGAAAAGTTTAGGTTTAGGGGAAAAGTTTAGGTTTAGGGGGAAATGGTTAGGTTTAGGGGAAAGTTTAAGTTTAGGGGAAAAGTTTAGGTTTAAGGTAAAGGGTAAGATTTAGGGGAAAGTTTAGGTTTAGGGGAAAAGTTTAGGTTTAGCGGAAAGTTTAGGTTTAGGGGGAAAGGGTTAGGTTTAGGGGAAAGTTTAGGTTTAGGGGAAAAGTTTAGGTTTAGGGTAAAGGGTAAGGTTTAGGGGAAAGTTTAGGTGTATTGTAAAAGTTTAGGTTTAGGGAAAAGTTTAGGTTTAAAGGGAAAGGGTTAGGTTTAGGGAAAAGTTTAGGTTTAGGGGAAAAGTTTAGGTTTAGGGTAAAGTTTAAGTTTAGGGGAAAGTTTAGGTTTAGGGGAAAAGTTTAGGTTTAGGGGAAAGTTTAGGTTTAGGGGAAAAATTAGGTTTAGGGGAAAGTTTAGGTTTAGGGTAAAGTTTAGGTGTATTGTAAAAGTTTAGGTTTAGGGAAAAGTTTAGGTTTAGAGGGAAAAGTTTAGGTTTAGGGTAAAGTTTAGGTTTAGGGGAAAGTTTAGGTTTAGAGGGAAAGGGTTAGGTTTAGGGAAAAGTTTAGGTTTAGGGGAAAGTTTAGGTTTAGGGTAAAGTTTAGGTGTATTGTAAAAGTTTAGGTTTAGGGAAAAGTTTAGGTTTAGAGGGAAAAGTTTAGGTTTAGGGTAAAGTTTAGGTTTAGGGGAAAGTTTAGGTTTAGAGGGAAAGGGTTAGGTTTAGGGGAAAGTTTAGGTTTAGGGGGAAAGGGTTAGGTTTAGGCGAAAGTTTAGGTTTAGGGGAAAAGTTTAGGTTTAGGGGAAAGTTTAGGTTTAGGGGAAAGTTTAGGTTTAAGGGGAAGTTTAGGTTTAGGGGAAAGTTTAGGTTTAGAGGAAAGGTTTAGGTTTAAGGGGAAGTTTAGGTTTAGGGGAAAGTTTAGGTTTAGAGGAAAGGTTTAGGTTTAGGGGAAAGTTTAGGTTTAGGGGAAAGTTTAGGTTTAAGGGGAAGTTTAGGTTTAGGGGAAAGTTTAGGTTTAGAGGAAAGGTTTAGGTTTAAGGGGAAGTTTAGGTTTAGGGGAAAGTTTAGGTTTAGAGGAAAGTTTAGGTTTAGGGGAAAAGTTTAGGTTTAGGGGAAAGTTTAGGTTTAGGGGAAAGTTTAGGTTTAGGGGGAAAGTTTAGGTTTAGGGGAAAGTTTAGGTTTAGGGGAAAGTTTAGGTTTAGGGGAAAGTTTAGTTTTAGGGGGAACGGTTAGGTTTAGGGGAAAAATTTAGGTTTAGGGGAAAGGGTTAGGGTTAGGGGAACACCTTGTTGATAAATCTGTGGTTACATTTTTTAAAAATCATGAGATAAAAGCTGTTTGATGTAACGACAGCTTTTTTTTATGGACAGCAGTTTTATCAACCAGCTCAGCTGTTGGATGTAACAGGCCTTTTGTTTGACAGGTGACAACCTTTGAGGATGTGGATGAAATCATGGGCAGCCACACCGCCATCCTCAAGTCACCTAAAGCACCAACAACATTTCACCTCATCAGAAAGTCCTCTTTCCACGCCCCACATGTTGAGCTTCCGCCTGTGGATCAACTTAAGGTGGACACATACAGTGTTGGTGTCATAATGGAGAGTAGGGTAAGTGTTGTCCTCTTGGTCCTCTAAATGTTGTCCTCTTTGTCCTCTAAATGTTGTCCTCTTGGTCCTCTAAATGTTGTCCTCTAAATGTTGTCCTCTAAATGTTGTCCTCTTGGTCCTCTAAATGTTGTCCTCTTGATCCTCTAAATGTTGTCCTCTAAATGTTGTCCTCTAAATGTTGTTGTCATCTAAATGTTGTCCTCTAAATATTGTTCTCTAAATGTTGTCCTCTTGGTCCTCTAAATGTTGTCCTCTAAATGTTGTCCTCTAAATGTTGTTGTCATCTAAATGTTGTCCTCTAAATATTGTCCTCTAAATGTTGTCCTATTGGTCCTCTAAATGTTGTCCTCTTGATCCTCTAAATGTTGTCCTCTTGGTCCTCTAAATGTTGTCCTTTTGGTCCTCTAAATGTTGTCATCTAAATGTTGTCCTCTTGGTCCTCTAAATGTTGTCCTCTAAATGTTGTCCTCTAAATGTTGTTGTCATCTAAATGTTGTCCTCTAAATATTGTTCTCTAAATGTTGTCCTCTTGGTCCTCTAAATGTTGTCCTCTAAATGTTGTCCTCTAAATGTTGTTGTCATCTAAATGTTGTCCTCTAAATATTGTCCTCTAAATGTTGTCCTATTGGTCCTCTAAATGTTGTCCTCTAAATGTTGTCCTCTTGGTCCTCTAAATGTTGTCCTCTTGATCCTCTAAATGTTGTCCTATTGGTCCTCTAAATGTTGTCCTCTTGGTCCTCTAAATGTTGTCCTCTAAATGTTGTCCTCTTGATCCTCTAAATGTTGTCCTCTTGGTCCTCTAAATGTTGTCCTCTAAATGTTGTCCTGTAAATGTTGTTGTCATCTAAATGTTGTCCTCTAAATATTGTTCTCTAAATGTTGTCCTCTTGGTCCTCTAAATGTTGTCCTCTAAATGTTGTCCTCTAAATGTTGTTGTCCTCTAAATGTTGTCCTCTAAATATTGTCCTCTAAATGTTGTCCTATTGGTCCTCTAAATGTTGTCCTCTAAATGTTGTCCTCTTGGTCCTCTAAATGTTGTCCTCTTGATCCTCTAAATGTTGTTCTCTTGGTCCTCTAAATGTTGTCCTCTTGGTCCTCTAAATGTTGTCCTCTAAATGTTGTCCTCTTGGTCCTCTAAATGTTGTCCTCTAAATGTTGTCCTCTAAATGTTGTCCTCTAAATGTTGTCCTCTAAATGTTGTCCTCTAAATGTTGTCCTCTTGATTCTCTAAATGTTGTCCTCTTGGTCCTCTAAATGTTGTCCTCTAAATGTTGTTGTCATCTAAATGTTGTCCTCTAAATATTGTCCTCTAAATGTTGTCATATTGGTCCTCTAAATGTTGTCCTCTTGGGTCTCCCCAGATGCCTGGTGCTTTTAATCCTGAGAAGTTCCGGGTGGAGGCCGTGGCCCCGAGTGGTCGAGTGATTAAGATCACTGGCGATGGCCACTACGCGGCCCAGTTCAATGCTGACGAGATAGGCCGATGGAAGGTTTCCATGTTTTACGAAAACAGGTTCCTGGATGGATGTCCCATAGAGGTCAGTGACCCTTCACAGGTCAAGGTCATTGGACTCCAGGGAGGTCATGTTGGAAAATCGAATTCCTTTAACGGTGAGTGGCAACATACAAAAATCACATCCCACACACATTTAGACCCACACACATTTAGACCCACACACATTTAGACCCACACACATTTAGACCCACACACATTTAGACCCACACACATTTAGACCCACACACATTTAGACCCACACACATTTAGACCCACACACATTTATTTCAACTAGATATCTATAGGAATCGGATATTTTGTTGAATTGACTTAGTCTTGACTGATTTGTGATTTAGTTGACTTAGTCTTGACTGATTTGTGATTTAGTTGACTGCACAAGGGCCGGCCCAGGAGACTTGGGAGTGGACATTTCACATAAAGGTCGAAAGATAGTGGCGAACATTGTCCAGACCTCGACTCCTGGCCTTCACAAGGTGACCTTCACCCCCTACAACCCAGGAGCTTATGAGATCAACGTACATTTTAACAGAGCTGAAATACGAGGTGGGTTAACAAGATTCAAAACTTGGACAGATCTGACCATAAAACTTAGACACATCTGACCATAAAACTTAGACACATCTGACAATAAAACTTAGACAGATCTGACCATAAAACTTAGACAGATCTGACCATAAAACTTAGACAGATCTGACCATAAAACGTAGACAGATCTGACCATAAAACGTAGACAGATCTGAATAATGAACTTGGAAACCGTCTCACAGAAAGCGAGATTGAGCTGCACGACCCGTCAGACAGGACAAGAAAAGCAGTGTTTTACACACATGTGGACCCCCAAAACGGATATGTTGATGTAAAAGCTGCTTGTAAGTTTGGTTTTTAATCTTTCAAACAGTACAAAGTAGCAGATATTTTGACTGTTATCACTTAGCACTATCAAAATGTTATCCACTCTCTTCCACTCTCTTCTACTCTCTTCCACTCTCTCCCACTCTCTCCCACTCTCTCCCACTCTCTCCCACTCTCTCCCACTCTCTCCCACTCTCTCCCACTCTCTCCCACTCTCTTCCACTCTCTATCTGACTATCCCATCTCCCTTAACTTTTAAACATCTTTTATTTGTTACGAATAATCGTTTTTTACATCCTGGTCTGGTCTGTCTGGTCTGTCTGTCCGTAGCCTGTTTGTCTTTCTGTCTGTCTGTCTGTCTGTCTGTCTGTCTGTCTGGTTCCACCTGTAATCACTATGGCGACTAGTTTCATTTTAAAAGTGTTGTCAGTGTTGTCAGTGTTGTCAGTGTTGTCAGTGTTGTCAGTGTTGTCAGTGTTGTCGGTGTTGTCAGTGTTGTCAGTGTTGTCAGTGTTGTCTATGATGTCAGTGTTGTCAGTGTTGTCAGTGTTGTCAGTGTTGTCAGTGTTGTCAGTGTTGTCAGTGTTGTCTATGATGTCAGTGTTGTCAGTGTTGTCAGTGTTGTCAGTGTTGTCAGTGTTGTCAGTGTTGTCTATGATGTCAGTGTTGTCAGTGTTGTCAGTGTTGTCAGTGTTGTCTATGATGTCAGTGTTGTCAGTGTTGTCAGTGTTGTCAGTGTTGTCAGTGTTGTCAGTGTTGTCTATGATGTCAGTGTTGTCAGTGTTGTAAATGAAGTCTACCTTGCAGGTGACTGGGAAGTCGATTACCTGACAGGTGTTCCCTTCATATGTCACGTGACTGATGCCTCCGACATCTCAGTGTACAGCATGGAGGATGGCACCGTGTGTCTTCATCCTCAGCTCATTGGTAAGTTGTAGGTAACCATGGCAACATCATTGGTAAGTTGTAGGTAACCATGGCAACATCATTGGTAAGTTGTAGGTAACCATGGCAACATCATTGATACGTTGTATGTAACCATGGCAACAGCACGCTAGCCTGAACAAAAATATGCCAATGTGAGAGGTTTTGTAGTCTATTTTCCACATGAACTAAAAAAATCTATAGATAGGTTGTTGGTGTACTGTCCACATGAACTAAATATAGCTATAGATAGGTTGTTGGTGTACTGTCCACATGAACTAAATATAGCTATAGATAGGTTGTGTGGTGTACTGTCCACATGAACTAAATATAGCTATAGATAGGTTGTTGGTGTACTGTCCACATGAACTAAATAAAGCTATAGATAGGTTGTTGGTGTACTGTCCACATGAACTAAATAAAGCTATAGATAGGTTGTGTGGTGTACTGTCCACATGAACTAAATAAAGCTATAGATAGGTTGTTGGTGTACTGTCCACATGAACTAAATAAAGCTATAGATAGGTTGTTGGTGTACTGTCCACATGAACTAAATATAGCTATAGATAGGTTGTGTGGTGTACTGTCCACATGAACTAAATATAGCTATAGATAGGTTGTGTGGTGTACTGTCCACATGAACTAAATAAAGCTATAGATAGGTTGTTGGTGTACTGTCCACATGAATTAAATAAAGCTATAGATAGGTTGTTGGTGTACTGTCCACATGAACTAAATAAAGCTATAGATAGGTTGTTGGTGTACTGTCCACATGAACTAAATAAAGCTATAGATAGGTTGTTGGTGTACTGTCCACATGAACTAAATAAAGCTATAGATAGGTTGTGTGGTGTACTGTCCACATGAACTAAATAAAGCTATAGATAGGTTGTTGGTGTACTGTCCACATGAACTAAATAAAGCTATAGATAGGTTGTTGGTGTACTGTCCACATGAACTAAATATAGCTATAGATAGGTTGTGTGGTGTACTGTCCACATGAACTAAATATAGCTATAGATAGGTTGTGTGGTGTACTGTCCACATGAACTAAATAAAGCTATAGATAGGTTGTTGGTGTACTGTCCACATGAATTAAATAAAGCTATAGATAGGTTGTGTGGTGTACTGTCCACATGAACTAAATAAAGCTATAGATAGGTTGTGTGGTGTACTGTCCACATGAACTAAATAAAGCTATAGATAGGTTGTTGGTGTACTGTCCACATGAATTAAATAAAGCTATAGATAGGTTGTGTGGTGTACTGTCCACATGAATTAAATAAAGCTATAGATAGGTTGTTGGTGTACTGTCCACATGAACTAAATATAGCTATAGATAGGTTGTGTGGTGTACTGTCCACATGAACTAAATATAGCTATAGATAGGTTGTGTGGTGTACTGTCCACATGAACTAAATAAAGCTATAGATAGGTTGTTGGTGTACTGTCCACATGAATTAAATAAAGCTATAGATAGGTTGTGTGGTGTACTGTCCACATGAACTAAATAAAGCTATAGATAGGTTGTGTGGTGTACTGTCCACATGAACTAAATAAAGCTATAGATAGGTTGTGTGGTGTACTGTCCACATGAACTAAATAAAGCTATAGATAGGTTGTGTGGTGTACTGTCCACATGAACTAAATAAAGCTATAGATAGGTTGTTGGTGTAATGTCCACATGAACTAAATAAAGCTATAGATAGGTTGTTGGTGTACTGTCCACATGAATTAAATAAAGCTATAGATAGGTTGTTGGTGTACTGTCCACATGAATTAAATAAAGCTATAGATAGGTTTTGTGGTGTACTGTCCACATGAACTAAATAAAGCTATAGATAGGTTGTTGGTGTACTGTCCACATGAACTAAATAAAGCTATAGATAGGTTGTGTGGTGTACTGTCCACATGAACTAAATAAAGCTATAGATAGGTTGTGTGGTGTACTGTCCACATGAACTAAATATAGCTATAAATAGGTTGTTGGTGTACTGTCCACCTTGACCTTGACCTTGACCTGCAACCATTTCCCAGCTGACTGCACGCGGGTTGGCGAGGGCCGCATTGATGCTGACGTCACGTATCAGGGCCTGCGGTATCCCTGCAGGGTGAAGCAGGACAAACCCTGCGTGTACAAAGTTTCATTCAAGCCACAGGGCCCGGGCGTCTACAAGGTCTGGATCAATTATGACGGGCAGCCGGTCAAAGGTCAGCTACATTCTACTTAACAGGGCTAAGATAAGCTACACTTAACAGGGCTAAGATAAGCTGCATTCTACTTAACAGGGCTAAGATAAGCCACACTTAACAGGGCTAAGATAAGCTACATTCTACTTAACAGGGCTAAGATAAGCTACACTTAACAGGGCTAAGATAAGCTGCATTCTACTTAACAGGGCTAAGATAAGCCACACTTAACAGGGCTAAGATAAGCTACATTCTACTTAACAGGGCTAAGATAAGCTACACTTAACAGGGCTAAGATAAGCTGCATTCTACTTAACAGGGCTAAGATAAGCCACACTTAACAGGGCTAAGATAAGCTACATTCTACTTAACAGGGCTAAGATAAGCTACACTTAACAGGGCTAAGATTACCTACACTTAACAGGGCTAAGATAAGCTACACTTAACAGGGCTAAGATAAGCTGCATTCTACTTAACAGGGCTAAGATAAGCCACACTTAACAGGGCTAAGATAAGCTACACTTAACAGGGCTAAGATAAGCTACACTTAACCAATCTAAGATAAGCTACACTTAACAGGGCTAAAATAAGCTACACTTAACAGGGCTAAGATAAGCTACACTTAACAGGGCTAAGATAAGCTACACTTAACAGGGCTAAGATAAGCCACACTTAACAGGGCTAAGATAAGCTACATTCTACTTAACAGGGCTAAGATAAGCTACACTTAACAGGGCTAAGATAAGCTACACTTAACCAATCTAAGATAAGCTACACTTAACAGGGCTAAAATAAGCTACACTTAACAGGGCTAAGATAAGCTACACTTAACAGGGCTAAGATAAGCTACACTTAACAGGGCTAAGATAAGCCACACTTAACAGGGCTAAGATAAGCTACATTCTACTTAACAGGGCTAAGATAAGCTACACTTAACAGGGCTAAGATAAGCCACACTTAACAGGGCTAAGATAAGCTACATTCTACTTAACAGGGCTAAGATAAGCTGCATTCTACTTAACAGGGCTAAGATAAGCTGCATTCTACTTAACAGGGCTAAGATAAGCAACACTTAACAGGGCTAAGATAAGCTACATTCTACTTAACAGGGCTAAGATAAGCTGCATTCTACTTAACAGGGCTAAGATAAGCTACACTTAACAGGGCTAAGATAAGCTACATTCTACTTAACAGGGCTAAGATAAGCTGCATTCTACTTAACAGGGCTAAGATAAGCTGCATTCTACTTAACAGGCAGGCACCCTCGTTCACACCGCTCCCCCCTTTTATACGGTCCATTTTCTCCCCTTACGTCAATGAGCGATCTCACAAAAGCATGAAAAAACATGACGAGTCGCTCAGACAGTCCTTCCGTTAGCTAGGTACTCTACATTCATGCAACTTCATGTAAAACATAATATAATAAACATACCCAACAATTCAGTCAGTGACTTAACCCATCTAAGATAAGCTACATTTTACTTAATAAGTCTAAATTGACTTCACTAGACTGCTATTTGTAAATTTATTTAAATTTTTGAAATTTTAGAATTTTTTGCGCACAACATATACTGAAGATTTACAGTCAAACAACCCCACCCTACCCCATCTGGCGACCCCACCCCATTTGTTGACCCCTCAGGCTCGCCATTCATACAAGAGATATCAGAACTGGAAAAACCTTCAGCGAATGGCGACGGACTTTACCGAGGTGTGCCGGGAGCACCAGCTACTTTTACCGTAGACCCCCGCGGATTTCCCGGGCAAGTTTCCGTGTCTGTCATTGGTAAGTCGCTTACGTCATAGCTAGTTTTCAAAATGGTCAAATGTTCAATTTACTAGTAAATAGTTTAGAATTTAGATTGATTTGTAAGTGACCCGTTTGAGAAGTTTTGAAAGTGTCCAAATATCTTTTGACCCCGTTCACAGCCAGCCTCTCGGGTCTTGTTGTGCAGACATCTTTTGACCTACTGACCTAAATCTAACCTACAGGTCCATCAAAACCTGTTTCAAGTCAGCTGGAACCTTTAGCTGACCAAACGGTCAAGGCCACCTACGTGCCCACCGAACGTGGACCCCATCAGATTGATATAAAGCTGGACAACAAACACATCGAAGGTCTCTGAATGTCATCTTGTCATAAATGTCACATTCTCTGATTTATGTTGCCATAATTTCATATTCTCCTCTATATGCTGTCATAAATGTCATGTTCTTTTTTTTTCTCGTATACGAAGTATTGAGGTAGTATTGTAATCGTGCAAAAAAATCGAAATCGAGATTTAAGATTTTCACAAGTCTTGACGTTTTACACCTCTGAGTCGGGTAAAAAAAAAAACAGCTTTACAATTTTGTCCGTATGTCTGTGTGTGTGTTTGTATGTAGGCTATGTACGTATGTGTGTATGTCTGTGAACATGATAACTTGAGTATACCGTTGAAGCTAGGTTAACGAGATTTCATATGTAAATATTATATCAAATTTGTAGTTCTGTTTCAGCTTTTCAGAGATTTCCGGTATCCGGAAGTGGAACTAATTCTACTTTTGGTTTTTCAAAAGCATATAACGAGTACTGTTTCAGATAGATAAACGAAATGTCACATATAAGTAAACAATCTAATTTTCGGCCTTCTATCAAATTTTGAGTAATTTCCGTGGACCGGGAGTAGTACTTTAGGCTATTTACGATTTCTAAAACAAAAACGCATATGAATTTATAAAGTACAAGTATTCCGCATTATTATACACACATTGCTTGCTTTTCACTTTGTGCACAATTCTTTTTTCGAAAAGATAAAAAAACAAATGGTAGCTGCAGTGAGGTTAATGTAATTAGTAATAAAACAGATAGTATTAGTTACCTCACAAGTTAAAGACAGTTACAAGTACTATGGACGTTTCGACCCAAGGTCTTCGTCAGCACACAACAGTGTGATTACAGATTAGACAAATAAAGACAAACAGTAACACATTTTTTGACTTAGCTCGACAGTGTCGAGCTAAGTCAAAAAATGTGTTACTGTTTGTCTTTATTTGTCTAATCTGTAATCACACTGTTGTGTGCTGACGAAGACCTTGGGTCGAAACGTCCATAGTACTTGTAACTGTCTTTAACTTGTGAGGTAACTAATACTATCTGTTTTATTACTAATTCTTTTTTCTACGTAATTCAATTCTATTTTAAAAAAGTTTAAGTAATTAAAATGGATTAAAAATCATGCATATATCCCGAGTTGCCATCCCTCGAACTGTGATATAAGAATGTTCGAGAAAGTTTAGGGGAGATCACTCCCGCTCTATTTATGTTCGTGATGTCATGTTCTCTGTTTTAAGTGGACCATTCTATGAGATGTTTGATGACTCCACTAACCAATGCTAACAGTTTGTATTGACCAATCTTTGACTAGACAACCAATGCTAACAGTTTATATTGACCAATCTTTGACTAGACAACCAATGCTAACAGTTTGTATTGACCAATCTTTGACTAGGCAACCAATGCTAACAGTTTGTATTGACCAATCTTTGACTAGGTAGCAAATGCTAACAGTTTGTATTGACCAATCTTTGACTAGACAACCAATGCTAACAGTTTGTATTGACCAATCTTTGACTAGGCAGCCCATTCAAACCGCTGATTGTGGACCCAGTAAAGGTGCGGGTCTCTGGCGGATGGAAGCCATACCTGGACGACAAAGGGGTCATTCCATTAAAGGTCAACAAGGAAAAGCATCTACCTTTTGATGTCTCTGAGGCTGGGCCAGGTCATTTTCATAGAGTCAATGTGTCCAGTCAATGTGTCCAGTCAATGTGTGCAGTCATAGAGTCAATGTATCCAGTCATATTGTCCAGTCATATTGTCCAGTCATAGATTCAATGTGTCCAGTCAATGTGTCCAGTCAATGTGTCCAGTCAATGTGTCCTGTCAATGTGTCCAGTCAATGTGTCCTGTCAATGTGTCCTGTCAATGTGTCCAGTCGTGTAACTGTATTCACTGTTTGAATAATTTATTTCCTCATGTGAACAGGGGAACTAACTGCACAAGTTCAGGGTCCCAACGGTAAAATCCCAGTCGCCATAGACGCTAGACAAGACGGCAAGCATTCTGTTGTGTTCACACCAAGAGAGGAAGGTATGAACCTGTTGCAACCTGCCCATAAACTTAACACTAACACACAAAGGTATAAACCTATTGCAACCTGCCCATAAACCTAACACTAACACAAAAAGAAGGTATAAACCTGTTGCAACCTGCCCATAAACCTACCACTAACACACAAAGAAGGTATAAACCTGTTGCAACCTGCCCATAAACCTAACACTAACACACAAAGAAGCTATAAACCTGTTACAACCTGCCCATAAACCTAACACTAACACACAAAGAAGGTATAAACCTGTTGCAACCTGCCCATAAACCTAACACAAACACAAAAAGAAGGTTTAAACCTATTGCAACCTGCCCATAAACCTAACACTAACACACAAAGAAGCTATAAACCTGTTACAACCTGCCCATAAACCTAACACTAACACACAAAGAAGGTATAAACCTGTTGCAACCTGCCCATAAACCTAACACTAACACAAAAAAGGTATAAACCTGTTGCAACCTGCCCATAAACCTAACACTAACACACAAAGAAGGCATAAACCTATTGCAACCTGCCCATAAACCTAACACTAACACACAAAAAAGTATAAACCTGTTACAACCTACCCATAAACCTAACACTAACACACAAAGAAGGTATAAACCTGTTACAACCTGCCCATAAACCTAACACTAACACAAAAAGGTATAAACCTGTTGCAACCTGCCCATAAACCTAACACTAACACACAAAAAAGTATAAACCTGTTGCAACCTGCCCATAAACCTAACACTAACACACAAAGAAGGTATAAACCTGTTGCAACCTGCCCATAAACCTAACACTAACACACAAAGAAGGTATAAACCTGTTGCAACCTGCCCATAAACCTAACACTAACACACAAAAAAGGTATAAACCTGTTGCAAACTGCCCATAAACCTAACACTAACACACAAAGAAGGTATAAACCTGTTGCAACCTGCCCATAAACCTAACACTAACACACAAAAAAGTATAAACCTGTTGCAACCTGCCCATAAACCTAACACTAACACACAAAGAAGGTATAAACCTGTAGCAACCTGCCCATAAACCTAACACTAACACACAAAGAAGGTATAAACCTGTAGCAACCTGCCCATAAACCTAACACTAACACACAAAGAAGGTATAAACCTGTTGCAACCTGCCCATAAACCTAACACTAACACACAAAGAAGGTATAAACCTGTTACAACCTGCCCATAAACCTAACACTAACACAAAAAGAAGGTATAAACCTGTTGCAACCTGCCCATAAACCTAACACTAACACACAAAGAAGGTATAAACCTATTGCAACCTGCCCATAAACCTAACACTAACACACAAAAAAGTATAAACCTGTTACAACCTACCCATAAACCTAACACTAACACAAAAAGGTATAAACCTGTTGCAACCTGCCCATAAACCTAACACTAACACACAAAAAAGTATAAACCTGTTGCAACCTGCCCATAAACCTAACACTAACACACAAAGAAGGTATAAACCTGTTGCAACCTGCCCATAAACCTAACACTAACACACAAAAAAGTATAAACCTGTTGCAACCTGCCCATAAACCTAACACTAACACACAAAGAAGGTATAAACCTGTTGCAACCTGCCCGTAAACCTAACACTAACACACAAAAAAGGTATAAACCTGTTGCAACCTCCCACAGGTAGACACAATATCCACGTCAGCTGGTGTGGCTACCCATTGTCCAACTCTCCCTACCTGGGTTTTGCCACACGCGAACCAGAACTTGACGAGCCAGCTATGACGAGGATAATACCTGTAGCTGTACCTGTAGCAGATAGGTAGGTGGGTGTACATGTAGCATAAAGGTGTGTGGGTGTACATGTAGCATAAAGGTGTGTGGGTGTACATGTAGCATAGAGGTGTGTGGGTGTACATGTAGCATAGAGGTGTGTGGGTGTACATGTAGCATAAAGGTGTGTGGGTGTACATGTAGCATAAAGGTGTGTGGGTGTACATGTAGCATAAAGGTGTGTGGGTGTACATGTAGCATAGAGGTGTGTGGGTGTACATGTAGCATAAAGGTGTGTGGGTGTACATGTAGCATAGAGGGGTGTGTGTGTACATGTAGCATAGAGGTGTGTGGGTGTACATGTAGCATAGAGGTGTGTGGGTGTACATGTAGCATAAAGGTGGGTGGGTGTACATGTAGCATAGGGGTAGGTGGGTGGGTGTACATGTAGCATAAAGGTGGGTGCGTGTACATGTAGCAGAAGGGTAAGTGGGTGTAACCATATTATATTGTACACGCCCCTGACCCTGCCTGTCAATATTTCAGTTACCCAAGTCCAAGGAGTTCTGTGTTTGATGGCCCCTCCCACATCGCTGAACCTGAGTTCTACAAACCTGGCAATGTGGTCTACCAACCGGAAGGTCGTGTTCAGGTATTCAAACTCTTCCATTAGTAACTAGAGCCCATACAGTTCATTATCTCTTATCCTAACCACCCATCCTAACCACCCATCCTAACCACCCATCCTAACCACCCATCCTAACCACCCATCCTAACCACCCATCCTAACCACCCATCCTAACCACCCATCCGATCCCTCCCATTCAACTGATAATAAAATATGTCTCTAGGTTCTGCCTGTGACGTATACAGCCCCGCCCCCTAAGAGATATATCGAGCACGCCCCAGCAGACGTTGAGCAAGTGGAGCCACCCAAGCGATACATTGAGACTAAATTGGAGCCCAGATTGAAGCTAGACCAGGAGACTTTGCCCAGCCCGAATACATTCCCTAAGCACACGTCGTCCTCAAGATCGTCCACGTCATCACAGGCTAACTCAGTTCAACCTAAACCTCAGAAGGTAATCAAAACAAGTTTTTTATAACCTCAGAAGGTAATCAAAACAAGTTTTTTTATAACCTCAGAAGGTAATCAAAACACGTTTTTTTTATAACCTCAGAAGGTAATCAAAACAAGTTTTTTTTATAACCTCAGAAGGTAATCAAAACAAGTTTTTTTATAACCTCAGAAGGTAACCAAAACAAGTTTTTTATAACCTCAGAAGGTAACCAAAACAAGTTTTTTATAACCTCAGAAGGTAATCAAAACAAGTTTTTTTATAACCTCAGAAGGTAACCAAAACATGTTTTTTATAACCCCAGAAGGTAACCAAAGCATGTATTTTTTATCACCTCATAAGGTAACCAAAACATGTTTTTTTATAACCTCAGAAGGTAACCAAAACATGTTTTTTTTATAACCTCAGAAGGTAACCAAAACAAGTTTTTTTTATAACCTCAGAAGGTAAACAAAACATGTTTTTATAACCTCTGAAGGATGTTTTTTATAACCTCTGAAGGTAGTTAAACAATTTTTTTGTAATCTCTGAAGTTAACCAAAACAAGTTTTTTTATAACTCCAAAAGGTAACCAAAACAAGTTTTAAAACATGTTTCTTAAAATCTTGCCGAATGTTTGACAGTGAGTGCAATATTGTTGTAATTGACGGCCCCAAATATGTGTCGTTTGATTGCATTTGACGGAGTGACATTACAGGTCTAAGTTTACATATGCCATGACAAGTTGATATGCCATGAAAAGTTGATATGTCATTACAAGTTGATATGTCATTACAAGTTGATATGTCATTACAAGTTGATATTCCATTACAAGTTGATATGTCATTACAAGTTGATATGTCATTACAAGTTGATATGTCATTACAAGTTGATATGCCATGAAAAGTTGATATGTCATTACAAGTTGATATGTCATTACAAGTTGATATGCCATGAAAAGTTGATATGTCATTACAAGTTGATATGTCATTACAAGTTGATATGCCATGAAAAGTTGATATGTCATTACAAGTTGATATGTCATTACAAGTTGATATGCCATGACAAATCGATATGCCATGACAAGTTGATATGTCATTACAAGTTGATATGCCATGACAAATCGATATGCCATGACAAGTTGATATGTCATTACAAGTTGATATGCCATGACAAATCGATATGCCATGACAAGTTGATATGTCATTACAAGTTGATATGCCATGACAAATCGATATGCCATGACAAATCGATATGCCATGACAAGTTGATATGCCATTACAAGCTATATTTTGCATGTGACCTCAAGGTCATACTCAGCGGCAAAGGTCTTAAGGAAGCAGAAGTCGGCAAGCCGGCAACATTCAAGGTAGACGGCAGACAGGCGGAACCAGGTAAATGGAGACAGCTAGAGACAGCTAGAGACAGCTAGGACAGCTAGAGACAGCTAGAGACAGCTAGAGACAGCTAGAGACAGCTAGAGACAGCTAGAGACAGCTAGAGACAGCTAGAGACAGCTAGAGACAGCTAGAGACAGCTAGAGACAGCTAGGACAGCTAGAGACAGCTAGAGACAGCTAGAGACAGCTAGGACAGCTAGAGACAGCTAGAGACAGCTAGAGACAGCTAGAGACAGCTAGAGACAACTAGAGACAGCTAGAGACAGCTAGAGACAACTAGAGACAGCTAGGACAGCTAGAGACAACTAGACAGCTAGAGACAGCTAGAGACAGCTAGAGACAGCTAGAGACAGCTAGAGACAGCTAGAGACAGCTAGAGACAGCTAGAGACAGCTAGAGACAGCTAGAGACAGCTAGAGACAACTAGAGACAGCTAGGACAGCTAGAGACAACTAGAGACAGCTAGGACAGCTAGGACAGCTAGAGACAGCTAGAGACAGCTAGAGACAGCTAGAGACAGCTAGGACAGCTAGAGACAGCTAGGACAGCTAGAGACAGCTATAGACAGCTAGAGATAGCTAGAGACAGCTAGAGACAGCTAGAGACAGCTAGAGACAGCTAGAGACAGCTAGAGACAACTAGAGACAACTAGAGACAGCTAGGACAGCTAGAGACAACTAGAGACAGCTAGAGACAGCTAGAGACAGCTAGAGACAGCTAGGACAGCTAGAGACAGCTAGAGACAGCTAGAGACAGCTAGAGACAGCTAGAGACAACTAGAGACAGCTAGAGACAGCTAGAGACAACTAGAGACAGCTAGGACAGCTAGAGACAACTAGACAGCTAGAGACAGCTAGAGACAGCTAGAGACAGCTAGAGACAGCTAGAGACAGCTAGAGACAGCTAGAGACAGCTAGAGACAGCTAGAGACAGCTAGAGACAGCTAGAGACAACTAGAGACAGCTAGGACAGCTAGAGACAACTAGAGACAGCTAGGACAGCTAGGACAGCTAGAGACAGCTAGAGACAGCTAGAGACAGCTAGAGACACTAGGACAGCTAGAGACAGCTATAGACAGCTAGAGATAGCTAGAGACAGCTAGAGACAGCTAGAGACAGCTAGAGACAGCTAGAGACAGCTAGAGACAACTAGAGACAACTAGAGACAGCTAGGACAGCTAGAGACAACTAGAGACAGCTAGAGACAGCTAGAGACAGCTAGAGACAGCTAGAGACAGCTAGAGACAGCTAGAGACAGCTAGAGACAGCTAGAGACAGCTAGAGACAGCTAGAGATAGCTAGAGACAGCTAGAGACAGCTAGAGACAGCTAGAGACAGCTAGAGACAACTAGAGACAGCTAGGACAGCTAGAGAGAACTAGAGACAGCTAGAGACAGCTAGAGACAGCTAGAGACAGCTAGAGACAGCTAGAGACAGCTAGAGACAGCTAGAGACAGCTAGAGACAACTAGAGACAGCTAGGACAGCTAGAGACAACTAGAGACAGCTAGAGACAGCTAGAGACAGCTAGAGACAGCTAGAGACAACTAGAGACAGCTAGGACAGCTAGAGACAACTAGAGACAGCTAGAGACAGCTAGAGACAGCTAGAGACAGCTAGAGACAGCTAGAGACAGCTAGAGACAGCTAGAGACAGCTAGAGACAGCTAGAGACAGCTAGAGACAGCTAGAGACAGCTAGAGACAGCTAGAGACAGCTAGAGACAGCTAGAGACAGCTAGAGACAGCTAGAGACAGCTAGAGACAGCTAGAGACAGCTAGAGACAACTAGAGACAGCTAGGACAGCTAGAGACAACTAGAGACAGCTAGAGACAGCTAGAGACAGCTAGAGACAGCTAGAGACAACTAGAGACAACTAGAGACAGCTAGAGACAGCTAGAGACAGCTAGAGACAACTAGAGACAGCTAGATACAGCTAGAGACAGCTAGAGACAGCTAGAGACAACTAGAGACAGCTAGGACAGCTAGGACAGCTAGAGACAACTAGAGACAGCTAGAGACAGCTAGAGACAGCTAGAGACAGCTAGAGACAACTAGAGACAGCTAGAGACAGCTAGAGACAGCTAGAGACAGCTAGAGACAGCTAGAGACAGCTAGAGACAGCTAGAGACAGCAAGAGACAGCTAGAGACAGCTAGAGACAGCTAGAGACAGCTAGAGACAGCTAGAGACAGCTAGGACAGCTAGAGACAGCTAGAGACAGCTAGAGACAGCTAGAGACAGCTAGAGACAACTAGAGACAGCTAGGACAGCTAGAGACAACTAGAGACAGCTAGAGACAGCTAGAGACAGCTAGAGACAGCTAGAGACAACTAGAGACAGCTAGGACAGCTAGGACAGCTAGAGACAGCTAGAGACAGCTAGAGACAGCTAGAGACAGCTAGAGACAGCTAGAGACAACTAGAGACAGCTAGGACAGCTAGAGACAGCTAGAGACAGCTAGAGACAGCTAGAGACAGCTAGAGACAGCTAGAGACAGCTAGAGACAGCTAGAGACAGCTAGAGACAGCTAGAGACAGCTAGAGACAGCTAGAGACAGCTAGAGATAGCTAGAGACAGCTAGAGACAGCTAGAGACAGCTAGAGACAGCTAGAGAGACAGCTAGAGACAGCTAGAGACAGCTAGAGACAGCTAGAGACAGCTAGAGACAGCTAGAGACAGCTAGAGACAGCTAGAGACAACTAGAGACAGCTAGGACAGCTAGAGACAACTAGAGACAGCTAGAGACAGCTAGAGACAGCTAGAGACAGCTAGAGACAACTAGAGACAGCTAGGACAGCTAGAGACAACTAGAGACAGCTAGAGACAGCTAGAGACAGCTAGAGACAGCTAGAGACAGCTAGAGACAGCTAGAGACAGCTAGAGACAGCTAGAGACAGCTAGAGACAGCTAGAGACAGCTAGAGACAGCTAGAGACAGCTAGAGACAGCTAGAGACAGCTAGAGACAGCTAGAGACAGCTAGAGACAGCTAGAGACAGCTAGAGACAGCTAGAGACAGCTAGAGACAACTAGAGACAGCTAGGACAGCTAGAGACAACTAGAGACAGCTAGAGACAGCTAGAGACAGCTAGAGACAGCTAGAGACAACTAGAGACAACTAGAGACAGCTAGAGACAGCTAGAGACAGCTAGAGACAACTAGAGACAGCTAGATACAGCTAGAGACAGCTAGAGACAGCTAGAGACAACTAGAGACAGCTAGGACAGCTAGGACAGCTAGAGACAACTAGAGACAGCTAGAGACAGCTAGAGACAGCTAGAGACAGCTAGAGACAACTAGAGACAGCTAGAGACAGCTAGAGACAGCTAGAGACAGCTAGAGACAGCTAGAGACAGCTAGAGACAGCTAGAGACAGCAAGAGACAGCTAGAGACAGCTAGAGACAGCTAGAGACAGCTAGAGACAGCTAGAGACAGCTAGGACAGCTAGAGACAGCTAGAGACAGCTAGAGACAGCTAGAGACAGCTAGAGACAACTAGAGACAGCTAGGACAGCTAGAGACAACTAGAGACAGCTAGAGACAGCTAGAGACAGCTAGAGACAGCTAGAGACAACTAGAGACAGCTAGGACAGCTAGGACAGCTAGAGACAGCTAGAGACAGCTAGAGACAGCTAGAGACAGCTAGAGACAGCTAGAGACAACTAGAGACAGCTAGGACAGCTAGAGACAGCTAGAGACAGCTAGAGACAGCTAGAGACAGCTAGAGACAGCTAGAGACAGCTAGAGACAGCTAGAGACAACTAGAGACAGCTAGGACAGCTAGAGACAACTAGAGACAGCTAGAGACAGCTAGAGACAGCTAGAGACAGCTAGAGACAACTAGAGACAGCTAGGACAGCTAGAGACAACTAGAGACAGCTAGAGACAGCTAGAGACAGCTAGAGACAGCTAGAGACAGCTAGAGACAGCTAGAGACAGCTAGAGACAGCTAGGACAGCTAGAGACAGCTAGAGACAGCTAGAGACAGCTAGAGACAGCTAGAGACAGCTAGAGACAGCTAGAGACAGCTAGGACAGCTAGAGACAGCTAGAGACAGCTAGAGACAGCTAGAGACAGCTAGAGACAACTAGAGACAGCTAGGACAGCTAGAGACAACTAGAGACAGCTAGAGACAGCTAGAGACAGCTAGAGACAACTATAGACAGCTAGAGACAGCTAGAGACAGCTAGAGACAGCTAGAGACAGCTAGGACAGCTAGAGACAGCTAGAGACAGCTAGAGACAGCTAGAGACAGCTAGGACAGCTAGAGACAGCTAGAGACAGCTAGGACAGCTAGAGACAACTAGAGACAGCTAGGACAGCTAGAGACAACTAGAGACAGCTAGAGACAGCTAGAGACAGCTAGAGACAGCTAGAGACAGCTAGAGACAGCTAGAGACATCTAGAGACAGCTAGAGACAGCTAGAGACAGCTAGGACAGCTAGAGACAACTAGAGACAGCTAGGACAGCTAGAGACAACTAGAGACAGCTAGAGACAGCTAGAGACAGCTAGAGACAGCTAGAGACAGCTAGAGACAACTAGAGACAGCTAGGACAGCTAGGACAGCTAGAGACAACTAGAGACAGCTAGAGACAGCTAGAGACAGCTAGAGACAGCTAGAGACAACTAGAGACAGCTAGGACAGCTAGAGACAACTAGAGACAGCTAGAGACAGCTAGAGACAGCTAGAGACAGCTAGAGACAGCTAGAGACAGCTAGAGACAGCTAGAGACAACTAGAGACAGCTAGAGACAACTAGAGACAGCTAGAGACAGCTAGAGACAGCTAGAGACAGCTAGAGACAACTAGAGACAGCTAGGACAGCTAGAGACAACTAGAGACAGCTAGAGACAGCTAGAGACAGCTAGAGACAGCTAGAGACAGCTAGAGACAACTAGAGACAGCTAGGACAGCTAGAGACAACTAGAGACAGCTAGAGACAGCTAGAGACAGCTAGAGACAGCTAGAGACAGCTAGAGACAGCTAGAGACAGCTAGAGACAGCTAGAGACAGCTAGAGACAGCTAGAGACAGCTAGAGACAGCTAGAGACAACTAGAGACAGCTAGAGACAGCTAGAGACAGCTAGAGACAACTAGAGACAGCTAGGACAGCTAGAGACAACTAGAGACAGCTAGAGACAGCTAGAGACAGCTAGAGACAGCTAGAGACAGCTAGAGACAGCTAGAGACAGCTAGGACAGCTAGAGACAGCTAGAGACAGCTAGAGACAGCTAGAGACAGCTAGAGACAGCTAGAGACAGCTAGAGACAGCTAGAGACAGCTAGAGACAGCTAGAGACAGCTAGAGACAGCTAGGACAGCTAGAGACAGCTAGAGACAGCTAGAGACAGCTAGAGACAGCTAGAGACAGCTAGAGACAGCTAGAGACAGCTAGAGATAGCAGGCCATAATTGAATGACCCCTTAAGACCCTGTCTGATAGATACCTTAGATCACATTGAATAGACTTTAGTTATCTGATAGATACCGTAGATCACATTGAATAGACTTTAGTTATCTGATAGATACCTTAGATCACATTGACTTTAGTTATCTGATAGATACCTTAGATCACATTGACTTTAGTTATCTGATAGATACCTTAGATCACATTGAATAGACTCCAGATATCTGACCCAACAGGTAAACCTACAGCTCATCTTGAAGGTGTTCGGGCCAACATACCTGTGACGTCAGAGCCCATTGAGCCGCAGCGTTACAAATGTGAATACGTACCGGAGAAGCCCGGAGCCTACCTGCTCTATGTTGATTGGAACAACAAGCCTTTAAAAGGTACGTGCCCGCCCCTCGTGGCAACACTGGGCGTGGCGTAAGATTCTTTCAGTCAATAAACGACATATTTACAATACCTATTGTCACTTGCTAGCTGCATGCAATTGTGCCGTTGTCCATCAGTTTGTCAAATTTGTTCCCTCCATCAGTTTATCAAATTTGTTCCTTCCATCAGTTTATCAAATTTGTTCCCTCCATCAGTTTGTCAAATTTGTTCCCTCCATCAGTTTATCAAATTTGTTCCCTCCATCAGTTTATCAAATTTGTTCCCTCCATCAGTTTATCAAATTTGTTCCCTCCATCAGTTTGTCAAATTTGTTCCCTCCATCAGTTTATCAAATTTGTTCCCTCCATCAGTTTGTCAAATTTGTTCCCTCCATCAGTTTATCAAATTTGTTCCCTCCATCAGTTTATCAAATTTGTTCCCTCCATCAGTTTATCAAATTTGTTCCCTCCATCAGTTTATCAAATTTGTTCCCTCCATCAGTTTATAAAATTTGTTCCCTCCATCAGTTTATCAAATTTGTTCCCTCCATCAGTTTATCAAATTTGTTCCCTCCATCAGTTTATCAAATTTGTTCCCTCCATCAGTTTATCAAATTTGTTCCCTCTTAGGTTCCCCATTTAAGGTAACCATCAGAGAGCCGAGCAAGCCCCACAAAGTGACCACATCCGGTGAGCCACTAGGCGCCGTGATGGGCCGGGATCTGGAGATGAGGATCGACCCACGAGAGGCGGGGCCGGGTAGGTCTTCCAGTTGTAGTCGTGGGCTGGGTTAGCTGGTCGTAGATGTGCTGGTGTGGTAGATGTGCTGCTGTGGTAGATGTGCTGTTGTGGTAGATGTGCTGCTGGTGGTAGATGTGCTGTTGTGGTAGATGTGCTGGTGTCGTAGATGTGCTGGTGTGGTTGATGTGCTGGTGTGGTAGATGTGCTGTTGTGGTAGATGTGCTGCTGGTGGTAGATGTGCTGTTGTGGTAGATGTGCTGGTGTGGTAGATGTGCTGGTGTGGTAGATGTGCTGTTGTGGTAGATGTGCTGCTGGTGGTAGATGTGCTGTTGTGGTAGATGTGCTGGTGTGGTAGATGTGCTGCTGTGGTAGATGTGCTGCTGTGGTAGGTGTGCTGCTGTGGTAGATGTGCTGTTGTGGTAGATGTGCTGGTGTGGTAGATGTGCTGGTGTGGTTGATGTGCTGGTGTGGTAGATGTGCTGTTGTGGTAGATGTGCTGCTGGTGGTAGATGTGCTGTTGTGGTAGATGTGCTGGTGTGGTAGATGTGCTGGTGTGGTAGATGTGCTGTTGTGGTAGATGTGCTGCTGTGGTACATGTGCTGGTGTGGTAGATGTGCTGCTGTGGTAGATGTGCTGGTGTGGTACATGTGCTGGTGTGGTAGATGTGCTGTTGTGGTAGATGTGCTGCTGGTGGTAGATGTGCTGCTGTGGTAGATGTGCTGCTGTGGTAGATGTGCTGTTGTGGTAGATGTGCTGGTGTGGTTGATGTGCTGGTGTGGTAGATGTGCTGTTGTGGTAGATGTGCTGCTGGTGGTAGATGTGCTGTTGTGGTAGATGTGCTGGTGTGGTAGATGTGCTGCTGTGGTAGATGTGCTGGTGTGGTAGATGTGCTGCTGTGGTAGATGTGCTGGTGTGGTAGATGTGCTGCTGTGGTAGATGTGCTGTTGTGGTAGATGTGCTGCTGGTGGTAGATGTGCTGTTGTGGTAGATGTGCTGGTGTGGTAGATGTGCTGGTGTGGTAGATGTGCTGTTGTGGTAGATGTGCTGCTGTGGTACATGTGCTGGTGTGGTAGATGTGCTGGTGTGGTAGATGTGCTGGTGTGGTAGATGTGCTGCTGTGGTAGATGTGCTGGTGTGGTAGATGTGCTGTTGTGGTAGATGTGCTGTTGTGGTAGATGTGCTGTTGTGGTAGATGTGCTGCTGTGGTACATGTGCTGGTGTGGTAGATGTGCTGTTGTGGTAGATGTGCTGGTGTGGTAGATGTGCTGCTGTGGTAGATGTGCTGGTGTGGTAGATGTGCTGGTGTGGTAGATGTGCTGGTGTGGTAGATGTGCTGCTGTGGTAGATGTGCTGGTGTGGTAGATGTGCTGGTGTGGTAGATGTGCTGTTGTGGTAGATGTGCTGCTGGTGGTAGATGTGCTGTTGTGGTAGATGTGCTGGTGTGGTAGATGTGCTGGTGTGGTTGATGTGCTGGTGTGGTAGATGTGCTGGTGTGGTAGATGTGCTGCTGTGGTAGATGTGCTGGTGTGGTAGATGTGCTGGTGTGGTAGATGTGCTGGTGTGGTAGATGTGCTGCTGTGGTAGATGTGCTGGTGTGGTAGATGTGCTGCTGTGGTAGGTGTGGTAATGTGGAGGGTTTTGACAAGTGCAGAATTTTGGTAGGTTTGGTGTGATAATATGGTGGGTTTGGTGTGATGGTGTGGTAGGTTTGGTGTGATGGTGTGGTAGGTTTGGTGTGGTGGTGTGGTGGGTTTGGTGTGATGGTGTGGTAGAATTGGTGTGATTGTGTGGTAGGTTTGGTGTGATGGTGTGGTGGGTTTGGTGTGATGGTGTGGTGGGTTTGGTGTGATGGTGTGGTAGAATTGGTGTGATTGTGTGGTAGGTTTGATGTGATGGTGTGGTGGGTTTGGTGTGATGGTGTGGTAGAATTGGTGTGATTGTGTGGTAGGTTTGATGTGATGGTGTGGTAGGTTTGGTGTTATAGCGTGGTAGGTTTGGTGTGATGGTGTGGTGGGTTTGGTGTGATGATGTGGTGGTGTGGTAGGTTTGGTGTGATGGTGTGGTGGGTTTGGTGTGATGATGTGGTGGTGTGGTAGGTTTGGTGTGATAGTGTGGTGGGTTTAGTGTGATGGTGTGGTAGGTTTGATGTGATGGTGTGGTGGGTTTAGTGTGATGGTGTGGTGAGGTTGGTGTGATGGTGTGGTAGGTTTGGTGTGATGATGTGGTGGTGTGGTAGGTTTGGTGTGATGGTGTGGTGGGTTTAGTGTGATGGTGTGGTAGGTTTGATGTGATGGTGTGGTGGGTTTGGTGTGATGGTGTGGTAGGTTTGGTGTGATGGTGTGGTGAGTTTGTTGTGATGGTGTGGTAGGTTTGGTGTGATAGTGTGGTAGGTTTGGTGTGATGGTGTGGTGGGTTTAGTGTGATGGTGTGGTAGGTTTGATGTGATGGTGTGGTGGGTTTAGTGTGATAGTGTGGTGAGTTTGGTGTGATGGTGTGGTAGGTTTGGTGTGATGGTGTGGTGGGTTTGGTGTGATGGTGTGGTAGGTTTGTTGTGATGGTGTGGTGAGTTTGTTGTGATGGTGTGATGGTGTGGTAGGTTTGGTGTGATAGTGTGGTAGGTTTGGTGTGATAGTGTGGTGGGTATAGTGTGATGGTGTGGTAGGTTTGATGTGATGGTGTGGTGGGTTTAGTGTGATGGTGTGGTAGGTTTGGTGTGATGATGTGGTGGTGTGGTAGGTTTGGTGTGATGGTGTGGTGGGTTTAGTGTGATGGTGTGGTAGGTTTGATGTGATGGTGTGGTGGGTTTAGTGTGATAGTGTGGTGAGTTTGGTGTGATGGTGTGGTAGGTTTGGTGTGATGGTGTGGTGGGTTTGGTGTGATGGTGTGGTAGGTTTGTTGTGATGGTGTGGTGAGTTTGTTGTGATGGTGTGATGGTGTGGTAGGTTTGGTGTGATGGTGGGGTAGGTTTGATGTGATGGTGTGCTGGGTTAGGTGTGATGGTGTGGTAGGTTTGTTGTGATGGTGTGGTGGGTTAGGTGTGATGGTGTGGTAGGTTTGGTGTGATGGTGTGGTAGGTTTGGTGTGATGGTGTGCTGGGTTAGGTGTGATGGTGTGGTAGGTTTGTTGTGATGGTGTGGTGGGTTTAGTGTGATGGTGTGATGGTGTGGTGGGTTTGTTGTGATGGTGTGATGGTGTGGTAAGTTTGGTGTGATGGTGGGGTGGGTTTGTTGTGATGGTGTGATGGTGTGGTAGGTTTAGTGTGATCGTGTGGTAGATTTAGTGTGATGATGTGGTAGGTTTGGTGTGATGGTGTGATGGGTTAGGTGTGATGGTGTGATGGTGTGGTAAGTTTGGTGTGATGGTGTGGTTGGTTAGGTGTGATGGTGTGATGGTGTTGTAGGTTTGGTGTGATGGTGTGGTGGGTTTGTTGTGATGGTGTGACGGTGTGGTAGGTTTGGTGTGGTAGAATTGGTGTGATTGTGTGGTAGGTTTGATGTGATGGTGTGGTAGGTTTGGTGTTATAGCGTGGTAGGTTTGGTGTGATGGTGTGGTGGGTTTGGTGTGATGATGTGGTGGTGTGGTAGGTTTGGTGTGATGGTGTGGTAGGTTTAGTGTGATGATGTGGTAGGTTTGGTGTGATGGTATGATGGTGTGGTAGGTTTAGTGTGATTATGTGATGGGTTTTATTTGATGGGGTACTTTTGTGGTTAGCATAAAAAACAATTTTGTAGTAAAGACATAGCAGTAATATAGCACTAAATAAACCGCGAGTAATATCCCCTAAACTTTCTCGAATATTCTTATATAACTTGGACTATAGACATGATTTTTAATTACTTAAACTTTTAAAAATAGAACAGAATCTCATAGAAAAAAGAATTGCGCACCAAGCGAACGCCAAAACAAAATGTGCATAATAGTGCGCAAAATTATTAGTACTATATAAATTTACATGCGTTTTTTGAGAAATCGGAAGTAGCGTAAATTCGTACTTCCGGTCAACGGAAATTACTCAAAATTTGACAGAAGGTAAAGATTTAGATCTTTTACTTACATTTGAAATTTCATTGATCTTTCTGAAATAATACTCAAGTTATAGGCTTTTGAAAAATTCAAAGTAAAAAAGGTACCACTTCCGGTTATCGGAAATCGCTCAAAATTTGATACGGATCGACGATTTTGATAAAATACTTATATATGAAATTTCATCAACCTAGCTGTAACGATACTCAAGTTATCGTGTTTACACACAGAGAGACACACAGACACACAGACAGACACACAGACATACGGACAAGATTGCAAAATTATGTTTTTCCGTATCAGTGAGGTGTAAAACGTCGAGATTTGTAAAAATCTCGATTTTTTTTTTGCACGATTACAAGACTTTCTCTATACTTCGTATATACGAGAAAGTAAAAATGTGAAATAAAGAAATAATATCACATAGTTATAATACAAAATGAGATAAAATAAGAATATAATAGATGAATGAGAAATGTTTCAATAAGTCAGTTAGGGAGGTCATTGAATAATTGTTGTTTTAGTTTTGTTTTGAATATATTGTCACGCCTAAGTAGTTTTAATTTATTAGGAAGATTGTTCCACAAATTAGAACCAGAGTAGCCGAAGCTATGATTTTGGAAAAAAAGTTGTATATGGGATCGGTAAACTAAGACGACGATTTAATTTTGTGTTAACATAAAATAGGTCTGATAAGTGGAATATTTATTATAAAAAAATGTTTAAGCTCCTCACTGATTGTGTAATCAGCATCTGTGTTGAGCGCTACAGATGATATAAAATGATTGTTAAAGTCATCAGCAGATATCTGGCAATGTCCAGCTGTATTGCATGTGCATTTTTTTTCTAATTATTTGCTTTATGGCAGTCCAGATAGATTTGGAATTAGGATTGCCTGACAATAACTTATTAAAATACTCTTTCTTCGACCTACACACGAGCAGTTTGACATACTTTCGTTGCTTACAAAAGTCTTCAGTAGCTCCATATTATCTAAGCCAGTCTCTTTTATTTATTGCAGATTCGATATTGTTGTTAAACCAAGAAGGTTTGTTTCTAGTTTTAACCCTTTTAGAGATTTTACACATATGTTTCTCATATATGGTATAGAAAATACGAAGCCATTCAGAAATGTCTAGATCGGGACAATTATAATTGTATACATTGCAGAAGGGGGCAACCAATAAATCCACAAGAAAAAGATTTTCATTAAATTTTCTAATTGAGCGATAAAAAATAAAGTGATGTGTTGCGGCGAAGGTACACCTAATCTTTTCTGTAAAACAAGGAAGTGGTCACTAACACCACAAGAGGGGACACAGACCTCTATTAGGTTGCAGTCAGGTGTAGTGTAGATGTGATCAATTATTGTACATGATTTATCATTAACCCTGGTAGCCGTGTGTACAAATTGTTTTAGATTCAGAGAATTAACAATATCTTGCCAAAATCCTTGAGAGTTTAGTAAATTTATATTTAAATCTCCCAATATGATATTCATTGTTAGTAAATAAAAGGGACAAGTGAAAATGTGTTAGGTTCCTGTCAATGAGCATCATTCATTTCAACAGGAAGGCGCTTAAGCGACAACATTAGAGCTTGCTGAAGCAACAAAGAGCTAAAGCCCATTAAGTGATGTAAGCCTGGGCTAGAGTTCAATTGACCTGAAGATATTGTTGGTGGTATATCAACAGTCGAAGATTCATAAACCAAATCAGCCTTTGTACCTTTTACGTTTGAAAGGTGCACCTGGTCTTTATCTGTTAAACTGACGGTTCTTTGGGGATACTTTATATTTTTAGCAAGAATACTGCTTCCAATTTTAGTTAAATGAATACTGTCACTGTACAAGCGTTATCTCGGGGCACCTGACTTCGCAGTGAAAAAAGGTGTATTGTTTATAAAACAGTAGTTATAACTAATACAGAAAGACTGTAAAATGTATTATTTATTTCTATCAAGTGCCTACCCTTGCCCCGACATGGGGGTACGATGGATGAGAATCGGATTGTTGCGTTGGGAAATGTGTGAGAGATACATCTCACAATTTCTAGCATATTAGCTTGTGACAGTCTGACGTTTGATAGACTGTCGTTGACACCACAATGTAAGGTTACAGTTGTGGTGCTAGAGTCACGTGAGCGGTTAGTTTGAGAAGTTTTTCGCTTAACGTGAAGAAAATATTAAATACGCACATTACTAAAACGTATTAAACTGATCAATGTCAAATAATATTATTGCCCTAGAAAATGTTTAATAATTATGCCGGTGGAGGTAATTTAAAAAATTTCAATCAAGCTAAAAAAATGTGAATGCAAATTCCGCGGACAGTCAAGAGGACATTATTGTTGGAATAAAATAACTAGCAAGGTTTGATAAAGTGCAATATGGTAGGTAAAACGCGGATATTTTAAATACTGGCTTTATTTATTTTATACACTGTAATCAACACGTTACCAATCGTGTATTTATTTTATAAAGCAGCTATCAAGTCAAAAATTCTAGCACATTTAAAAAAACTTTTTAACATTGCGGGGTCTGGCGGTATTGTAGTTCCGCCCCTGAAGGGTGTGCTGATTTTTAGGCTTTCGTCTGTGGGGTTTTGATAGTAGGCGGGTACATGGTAATCTGTGATAGCGAAGTACATTTCTGTGATCAGCTATTTGAAATTTTGTTTGATCCTAGGCCAACTGACCGTGTCATGCACTGACCCCAACGGTCGAGACGTTCCTTGCAGCTTGAAGGAGAATATTGACGGCACAAGGTCATTGAAGGTCACACCCAAGATGGCGGGTAGACATATTGTTGACATTCGCTACGACGGAGCTCACATTTTAGGTCTGTTGTCTTCAACTTCTGCTAACCTAGCTTGTTCACTACATTTAAATCTGTTTTAGAAACTTTTACTCAAAGCTTAATACAGTCATCACATCATTCTGATGACCTTGACTAATACAGTAGTTAATTTATTCAAATGACCTTGACTAACAGTCATCACATCATTCTGATGACCTTGACTAATACAGTCATCACATCCTTCTGATCACCTTGACTAATACAGTAGTTAATTTATTCAAATGACCTTGACTAACAGTCATCACATCATTCTGATGACCTTGACTAATACAGTAGTTAATTCATCGAAAACTTGTCCTCCACAGGAAGCCCCTACGCTATTGATATTAAGGAGTCACAAGTGAAGGGCAAGGTCAAGGTTTGGGGTCCAGGAGTTGAAAATGGAATTATTCCAAACTTCCAAAGTACATTTTGGGTGGAAACTACAGGGGCGGGGGCCGGAGACCTTCGTGTGAGGATCATTGGACCTAAGGGTAAGTCAAAGCTCTATAGCTGTAGTGGGGGGGGGGGGGGATCACGGACCTAAGGGTAAGTCAAAGCTCTATAGCTGTAGTGCGGGGGGGGGGGGGGAATCACGGACCTAAGGGTAAGTCAAAGCTCTATAGCTGTAGTGGGGGGGGGGGGGGGGAATCACGGACCTAAGGGTAAGTCAAAGCTCTATAGCTGTAGTGGGGGGGGGGGGGGAATCACGGACCTAAGGGTAAGTCAAAGCTCTATAGCTGTAGTGGGGGGGGGGGAAATCACGGACCTAAGGGTAAGTCAAAGCTCTGTAGCTGTAGTGGGGGGGGGGAATCACGGACCTAAGGGTAAGTCAAAGCTCTATAGCTGTAATGGGGGGGGGGGGTCAAAAGCCATATGGCGTATAACTTGTTATATTTAGGATTTCCTTAATCAACACAAGAGATTAGGGTTTATTTAATCAACAAAAAGGATTATTTTCTCAATGATATGACCAACATTTTCCGTTGAGCTTTTAGCATTTAACATCTTAATCAACGAATAGAATTTAACATCTTAATCAACGAATAGCATTTAACATCTTAATCAACGAATAGCATTTAACATCTTAATCAACGAATAGAATTTAACATCTTAATCAACGAATAGCATTTAACATCTTAATCAACGAATAGAATTTAACATCTTAATCAACGAATAGCATTTAACATCTTAATCAACGAATAGCATTTAACATCTTAATCAACGAATAGAATTTAACATCTTAATCAACGAATAGCATTTAACATCTTAATCAACGAATAGAATTTAACATCCTAATCAACGAATAGCATTTAACATCTTAATAAACGAATAGCATTTAACATCTTAATCAACGAATAGCATTTAACATCTTAATCAACGAATAGCATTTAACATCTTAATCAACGAATAGCATTTAACATCTTAATCAACGAATAGAATTTAACATCTTAATCAACGAATAGCATTTAACATCTTAATCAACGAATAGCATTTAACATCTTAATCAACGAATAGCATTTAACATCTTAATCAACGAATAGCATTTAACATCTTAATCAACGAATAGCATTTCACATCTTAATCAACGAAAAGCATTTAACATCTTAATCAACGAATAGCATTTAACATCTTAATCAACGAATAGCATTTAACATCTTAATCAACGAATAGCATTTAACATCTTAATCAACGAATAGCATTTAACATCTTAATCAACGAATAGCATTTAACATCTTAATTAACGAATAGAATTTAACATCTTAATCAACGAATAGCATTTAACATCTTAATCAACGAATAGAATTTAACATCTTAATCAACGAATATAATTTAACATCTTAATCAACTAATAGAATTTAACATCTTAATCAACGAATGGCATTGAGCAAAGCCCTACTTTTGTATCGCCAGGAGCCTTTCATGTCAAGATGCGCAAGGCTAGCACCAAGGAACGAATCTACCAGTGTTTCTATGACCCAGTGGAGCCGGGCATCTACACGGTCAACGTCGAGTGGTCAGGCAGCCACGTAGATGGCAGTCCGTTCACAGTTCTGCTGGCCACAAGTGCCCGGGAGTTGCGGGCCTTACAGGGAGATGTACTTGATGTCAGCGGCGACACTGAGAGCGTCTTGCACAGGAGTCAGCGCAGCAACGGCCAGACCATGCATGACTTTTTATACTGACCACAGCCTGACGCTTTATACTGACCACAGCCTGATACTGACCACAGCCTGACGCTTTATACTGACCACAGCCTGACGCTTTATACTGACCACAGCCTGACGCTTTATACTGACCACAGCCTGACGCTTTATACTGACCACAGCCTGACGCTTTATACTGACCACAGCCTGACGCTTTATACTGACCACAGCCTGACGCTTTATACTGACCACAGCCTGACGCTTTATACTGACCACAGCCTGACGCTTTATACTGACCACAGCCTGACGCTTTATACTGACCACAGCCTGACGCTTTATACTGACCACAGCCTGACGCTTTATACTGACCACAGCCTGACACTGACCACAGCCTGACGCTTTATACTGACCACAGCCTGACGCTTTATACTGACCACAGCCTGACACTGACCACAGCCTGACACTGACCACAGCCTGACGCTTTATACTGACCACAGACTGACGCTTTATAATGACCCCAACCTGACGCTTTATACTGACCACAGCCTGACGCTTTATACTGACCACAGCCTGACGCTTTATACTGACCACAGTCTGACGCTTTATACTGACCACAGCCTGACGCTTTATACTGACCACAGCCTGACGCTTTATACTGACCCCAACCTGACGCTTTATACTGACCACAGTCTGACACTTTAAAATGACCACAGCCTGACGCTTTACACTGACCACAGTCTGACACTTTAAAATGACACCGGCCTGACTCTTTATACTGACCACAGCCTGACGCTTTATACTGACCCCAGCGTGACGCTTTATACTGACCACAGCCTGACACTGACCACGGTCTGACACTTTATACTGACCACAGCCTGACGCTTTATACTGACCACAGCCTGACGCTTTATACTGACCCCAGCCAGACGCTTTATACTGACCACAGCCTGACGCTTTATACTGACCACAGTCTGACGCTTTATACTGACCACAGCCTGACGCTTTATACTGACCACAGCCTGACACTGACCACAGCCTGACGCTTTATACTGACCACAGCCTGACGCTTTATACTGACCACAGCCTGACACTGACCACAGCCTGACACTGACCACAGCCTGACGCTTTATACTGACCACAGACTGACGCTTTATAATGACCCCAACCTGACGCTTTATACTGACCACAGCCTGACGCTTTATACTGACCACAGCCTGACGCTTTATACTGACCACAGTCTGACGCTTTATACTGACCACAGCCTGACGCTTTATACTGACCACAGCCTGACGCTTTATACTGACCCCAACCTGACGCTTTATACTGACCACAGTCTGACACTTTAAAATGACCACAGCCTGACGCTTTACACTGACCACAGTCTGACACTTTAAAATGACACCGGCCTGACTCTTTATACTGACCACAGCCTGACGCTTTATACTGACCCCAGCGTGACGCTTTATACTGACCACAGCCTGACACTGACCACGGTCTGACACTTTATACTGACCACAGCCTGACGCTTTATACTGACCACAGCCTGACGCTTTATACTGACCCCAGCCAGACGCTTTATACTGACCACAGCCTGACGCTTTATACTGACCACAGTCTGACGCTTTATACTGACCACAGCCTGACGCTTTATACTGACCACAGCCTGACGCTTTATACTGACCCCAACCTGACACTTTATACTGACCACAGCCTGACGCTTTATACTGACCACAGCCTGACGCTTTATACTGACCACAGCCTGACGCTTTATACTGACCCCAACCTGACGCTTTATACTGACCACAGTCTGACACTTTAAAATGACCCCAGCCTGACGCTTTACACTGACCACAGTCTGACACTTTAAAATGACACCGGCCTGACTCTTTATACTGACCACAGCCTGACGCTTTATACTGACCACAGCCTGACACTGACCACGGTCTGACACTTTATACTGACCACAGCCTGACGCTTTATACTGACCACAGCCTGACGCTTTATACTGACCCCAGCCTGACGCTTTATACTGACCACAGCCTGACACTGACCACAGTCTGACACTTTATACTGACCACAGCCTGACGCTTTATACTGACCACAGCCTGACACTGACCACAGTCTGACACTGACCACAGTCTGACACTTTAAAATGACCCCAGCCTGACGCTTTATACTGACCACAGCCTGACTCTTTATACTGACCACAGCCTGACACTGACCACAGTCTGACACTTTAAAATGACCCCAGCCTGACGCTTTATACTGACTACAGCCTGACTCTTTATACTGACCACAGCCTGACGCTTTATACTGACCACAGCCTGACGCTTTATACTGACCACAGCCTGACGCTTTATACTGACCACAGTCTGACGCTTTATACTGACCACAGCCTGACGCTTTATACTGACCACAGCCTGACGCTTTATACTGACCACAGTCTGACGCTTTATACTGACCACAGCCTGACGATTTATACTGACCCCAACCTGACGCTTTATACTGACCACAACCTGACGCTTTATACTGACCACAGTCTGACGCTTTATACTGACCACAGTCTGACGCTTTATACTGACCACAACCTGACGCTTTATACTGACCACAGCCTGACGCTTTATACTGACCACAGCCTGACGCTTTATACTGACCGCAGTCTGACGCTTTATACTGACCACAGCCTGACGCTTTATAATGACCCCAACCTGACGCTTTATACTGACCACAGCCTGACGCTTTATACTGACCACAGCCTGATACTGACCACAGCCTGACGCTTTATACTGACCACAGCATGATGCTTTATACTGACCACAGTCTGACGCTTTATACTGACCACAGCCTGACGCTTTATACTGACCACAGCCTGACGCTTTATACTGACCACAGCCTGATACTGACCACAGCCTGACGCTTTATACTGACCACAGCATGATGCTTTATACTGACCACAGCCTGACGCTTTATACTGACCACAGCCTGACGCTTTATACTGACCACAGCCTGACACTGACCACAGCCTGACGCTTTATACTGACCACAGCCTGACGCTTTATACTGAACACAGCCTGATACTGACCACAGCCTGACACTGACCACAGCCTGACGCTTTATACTGACCACAGCATGATGCTTTATACTGACCACAGCCTGACGCTTTATACTGACCACAGCCTGACGCTTTATACTGACCACAGCCTGACACTGACCACAGCCTGACGCTTTATACTGACCACAGCCTGACGCTTTATACTGAACACAGCCTGACGCTTTGAACTGACCACAGCCTAAAACTGACCTTTCAATCTGTAGGCTAAGAGACGGTGGAGCCTTTGGTTTACTGAACTAAAATTATTTACAATACAATGGCTACTTGCATATAGGCAATTTACTATTGAAACATTGTATACATACTATATATATATATATATATATATATATATATATATATATATATATATATATATATATATATATATAAGTTTATTACATTCTTCTTCAGTTTATACTAACATGGTTTTAAAAAGTTAGGCCTAGACCTTAGTGCTCAGACACTACTCGTTGCCACAAATGTATACATTTTCACATATGTATACTCCTTGCAGATATCCCTCTAAAATATATTGAGATTAATCGGACAGCTAAATTTATAAGTAGACCACTTTTAAAATGACACACTTTGCTGTCACAAAGTTTGTTGTCAGATCTCACAATCTCTGCTGTCACAAAGTTTGTTGTCACAATCTCTGCTGTCACAAAGTTTGTTGTCACAATCTCTGCTAGTCAGCGAGTGCAGAAAACCTCATCTGATAATAGTAGCTAAGTATGGTGACGTCACTTCAGGACATGACCTATCACTAGGATCATGTGACTTATTATAGTACCATGTGACCTATAGCAAGAGTGTATCATATGAATACAATTTTAGGGTGCTAAAATGGACTGGTTGATTTATTTTAGTGTCATAGTAGTCACATTTATATTCAACATCTATTTATATTTGTATAAAAAAATAATTATTCAATCATTAAAAAGTATATTTGAACTGTGTTTTGCCCTGTGAGATTATCTAATTAATCACCTGTTTCCAGCGCATGACATTAATTAGCCTCGTATTTATGACATCTGGTTTTGTTTCCAATTTTCTGCTCAGTTTTGACGTCACAACGATACACACTGGCAGCAAGTGAAATTAGCGACAACATGACATTAATTAGCAATCACACGACATTAATTAGCGACAACATGACTTTAGTTAGCAATCACATGACATTAATTAGCGACAACATGACTTTAGTTAGCAATCACATGACATTAATTAGCAATCACACGACATTAATTAGCGACAACTAGACATTAGTTAGCAATCAAATGGCATTAATTAGTGACAACTAGACAGTTAACAATCACATGACATTAATTAGAGAGAACCTGACATTAATTAGCGAGATCGTGACATAAAACTGAGAGAAAACCACGAAATTCAGGCATTTCTAACAGAATTTTATTATAAAGGTAAAAAATTGTCCATGGAATATAGGAATGTTAGCTGTGATGATTTCATCAGACGAATAGAAAAGTTAAGGTGACATTTCAAGTGTTTCATGCCGTGCTTGACACAACTCAATGCAATCGGTTACATTACATCATGTTATTAGCCGGCAAAAATAAAGCCAGCCGGACCGGTTACATTACATCATGTCATTAGCCGGCAAAAATAAAGCCAGCCGGACCGGTTACATTACATCATGTCATTAGCCGGCAAAAATAAAGCCAGCCGGACCGGTTACATTACATCATGTCATTAGCCGGCAAAAATAAAGCCAGCCGGACCGGTTACATTACATCATGTCATTAGCCGGCAAAAATAAACCCAGCCGGCCCCGAGTTGGATGCGACCTCCTTAGCCGCGGCCTCCTTCTCTTTAGCCATGGCTACCATATCTCTATGAAGGTCAAGGGCGTCAGCAGCCTTGTCGGCCGCCAGCCCTTTCATGTCGTTCATTGACATCTGAGTGGGGATGGGCGGGGCTAAAGCGGGTGTAGGCGTGTCCTTGGCTGGAGTGTTGTTCAGTTGGTCTTGCTTAAGGTCGAGGAGGTCGTTCTGTCGGTCTAGAGCTAAGGCATCTGCTTCAGCTTTAAATCCAGACTTCTCATTAGTGCTGGTACGATCTGATTTGACGGGGGGAGGTGGTGGGGGAGCGATCAATTCCGGGGGTAGGATATGTGGGTGGGGTGGATGAAGTATTTGTACCGGATGGGGTGGAGGAAAAACATTTCCTTTCATAGGGGGTGGGGGTGGAGGAGGGCGAATGGGCATTAGAAAGTGAATGGGTGGCGGTGGGGGCGGGGGGTTGTTAGGGTGAATAAAGGGATCAAAGGGGTCGTTGTATTTTGGCGTCTGATGGCCGAGATCACCAGGAGGAACGTCAAAAGGATCGGGGGATCCACCCGCCCCACCCCCCACACCGTCAGGGGCGCCAATATTGATAGAAGAAGGGTCGACCATGTTCTCCAGAGGCACCTCCTCCGAGCTGTCCGGGCTGTGGGCGTGGTCGGCTGCATGAGACTTTTCGTTGGCGGTGTCCACCGGTAGTGGTTCAGTCGTTTCTGGTGCAGCAGGTGGCGGCTCTGTGGGTACAGCTTCTGGCTGCTGCTGTTGTTGTTGCTGTTGTTCTTCTTGCTGCTGTTGTTGCTGTTGTTCTACCTGCTGCTGTTGCTCCTGTGCAGCTGGAGCTGACGGGGTATCCACCCCACCATTGTTACCATCGCCATCACCATCTTCTTTATTTGAGTTATCCGGCCCTGGGGGGTCGACTTTAGGGGGGTCGACTTTAGGGGGGTCGACTTTAGGGGGGTCGACTTTAGGGGGGTCGACTTTAGGGGGGTCTGGAGACTGCACCGGGTCCGGCTCAGTAGCTGCTGGTGGCTTTATGTCGGGAACCGGTGCAGGATCCGGAGATTGAATGTCTATCTGTGAGGAAAAAACAACAGAGGCTGTGAGAGACATATGATACAGCTATTTAGATGAATGATACACAGCTATTTAGATGAATGATACACAGCTATTTAGATGAATGATACACAGCTATTTAGATGAATGATACACATAGCTATTTAGATGAATGATACACAGCTATTTAGATGAATGATACACAGCTATTTAGATGAATGATACACAGCTATTTAGATGAATGAAACACAGCTATTTAGATGAATGATACACAGCTATTTTAATGAATGATACACACAGAATCACCGTCGAACAACACGCTTTCCTGGGCGTCCGTTCCCAGAGAGAGCTTTCCCCACATTCTCTGATATAACCATCCGTTTAAATAACACAGAAAAACAAAATTTAAAAAAAAATGTGATTTGGAGAGATCATAGAAATTAAAAAAAAAACAAAAAAACCTATAATACTCCGTTCCGACTACTCCAGGAATAAAATAAATAATAAAAACATTATCTATTTAATTATGAGCCTTAACATATAATAATCAATGCGGTAAGAATAAAAAAAAATTTTTAACCTAAATAACAATATTTAGAATGAGTTGAATTTCCCCCCCCCCCCCCCCATTGTAAAGGTGGATTTCTCATGTATTTTATAATCATAGATTCCATCGTCTAGGAAACACCCTAAGCTTACAATCAGCTTTACAAATCACACAGATATGGTATTTTCGTGACCTACTTTTCGTGACTTGTTGCTGTTCTCATTTCGCACTTTTTAACACTAAAAAGCCTACTACATTTTTATTTCTCAAACAATGCAAACGATATTTTGAGTAATTGTTCTTCATGCAGAAATAAAACTTCTGTCGCGAGGGATTTGCGATGGTTTTTATAGAAAATAAACCGGGAGTGATCTCCCCTAAACTTTCTGGAATATTCTTATATATCACTAAGGGGGATGGCAACTCGGGATATAGACATGATTTTTAATCAATTTTTAAATACTTAAACTTTTTAAAATAGAATAGAATCTCATAGAAAAAAGAATTGCGCACCAAGTGAACGCCAAAACAATCTGTGTATAATAGTGCGGAATACCATTAGTGCTTTATTAATTCACATGCGTTTTTTTTTTTGAGAAATCGGAAATAGCGTAAATTACTACTTATGATCAACGGAAATTGCTCAAAATTTGAGAGAAGACAGACAATTAGATCTTACTAGACTACCCGTTATCTAGTTAGATAACTGTGGGTTTCGGGGGTCATCCATAAAAAACATCACGTCTGTCACTTATCATCACAAAATAACCAGACCCCACATTCAAAAAGGCGTCACATCTCAGGCGTTTTTGTCTTTTAAAAAAAAATTCATAAAAAACGTTTTAATAACAAGCTTTTATGTAATGATGCACTAAAAAGTAGAAAATAAATTATAGACTACTATTTAAATAACTATAAAGAAAAGCGTGGGTCACTTTAGTATCTATTGGATGCCTTTACTAATGTTAAGGAAGACACCCACGCTTTTCTTTATAGTTATTTAAATAGTAGTCTATAAGTTATTTTCTATTTTTTAGTGCATCATTACATAAAAGCTTGATATTAAAACGTTTTTTATGAATTTTTTTTTCAGTACTTTACATGTTTTATTTACAATAGAGTTACATGACTAAAAACCATTGCGCGCCTACTGAACATCACGTTCAGTAGGCGCGCAATGGTTTTTGAACGCAGCCATTACGTGATGGCGCAGCTATTGAAGGTGATGACGCGTGTGGTGTGGTTGGCTAGACATGCCTACTAATTCGGTCCAAATTTTAATTAATTCATAAAAAATTAATTAGGCATCCAATTAAGTCAAATTTAGTTTCAGATTGCATTGTCTTCATGTCTTGACCCACGTGCCAACTGTGAATCGTATCGGTCAAGTAGAACTGTCCGAATTTTCACTCCTGCGTTTCCGTCTAGACAGACAGACAGAGGAAGTGAGTTAAATAAAAGCTTGTAAAAAAATTCATAAAAAACGTTTTAATAACAAGCTTTTATGTAATGATGCACTAAAAAGTAGAAAATAAATTATAGACTACTATTTAAATAACTATAAAGAAAAGCGTGGGTCACTTTAGTATCTATTGGATACCTTTACTAATGTTAAGGAAGACACCCACGCTTTTCTTTATAGTTATTTAAATAGTAGTCTATAATTTATTTTCTACTTTTTAGTGCATCATTACATAAAAGCTTGTTATTAAAACGTTTTTTATGAATTTTTTTTTCAGTACTTTACATGTTTTATTTACAATAGAGTTACATGACTAAAAACCATTGCGCGCCTACTGAACATCACGTTCAGTAGGCGCGCAATGGTTTTTGAACGCAGCCATTACGTGAAGGCGCAGCTATTAAAGGCGATGACGCGTGTGGTGTGGTTGGCTAGACATGCCTACTAATTCGGTCCAAATTTTAATTAATTCATAAAAAATTAATTAGGCATCCAATTAAGTCAAATTTAGATTCAGATTGCATTGTCTTTATGTCTTGACCCACGTGCCAACTGTGAATCGTATCGGTCAAGTAGAACTGTCCGAATTTTCACTCCTGCGTTTCTATCTAGACTGACGACAGACAGACTGTCGACAGAGGAAGTGAGTTAAATAAAAGCTTGTAAAAAAACTCATTTCAGCCGAGCTTGCTCCGACCACACTATCCACGTTATATAATGAGGACAAAGAAATAGGTGAACTCTACTTCACCTGCCCTGTATCCCGCTAAGTTCCAATAGGCAAAGGCAGCTTTATCATTCACAACAAAAAAACAAATAAATAAATAAAAGAATATTAACATTGACATGTCTCGAACCCGTGCCACCCGCAAGGTATCCTCATGTGCTAACCTCTTAGCTATCTAGGTTCGTACTCTAGAGTAGGTAATAACTTATATATTTTACTTCTAGATCTAGAATTATTTCAAATTAAATTTAATCTAAAATTAGCCAATTGTATAACTAAACAAAGATTTATATAAAATAATTAAGGCCTGAAATAGATTCTAGATGTAGAATTTACATTAAGTCTAGATCTAGAATTTACCTTAAGTCTAGTGACCTAGATCTAGATCTAGATCTAGATCTAGATCTAGATAACTAGATTCATAGCTTTTTCTTCCTTCGACAGCTGATCTGCAGATCTAGAGAAATGTATTGTATAATAAAATAAAAAGAACTGTTAAAATATTGATTATAGTGTTGAAACGTAATAAAAACACCAAACGGACGTATTGTTAAAGTTATAGCCGACAGAAAATTAGCTTTAGAATGCGTTAAACATTGGAATGGGAACACAATCTTCAATAGGAGCCGCCATTGTTTATGCAAAAAGTAAACAAATCATGTGACGTCACTATTCCGTCAAAATAAAGCCATTGTTTGAAACTTTTAAAATTAATGTGGTTAATCTACAAATGAATAAATCAATAAATTAATTAACGTCTTTAAATAAATTTGTGAATAACAGTCTGTCTGAAAACAAAAATTGTTCTCTGCCTACATACTATTTTACAGCTCTACACATATTACATATTACAGATTGTGATTTATCTATCTAGATCTAGAATAGGTCTAATCTAGATATAGCAAGAGCTACGCAAAAACTAGACTTAAGACTTGAGCAAGCCAGTCGTAGATAATATAGATAATTCTATCTAGATTTAGATAATAATGAGTTTCTATATACTAAACTATTTCAGACCTTTATTATTTTATATAATTTTTGTTTAACTATGGGATTGGCTAATTTAAGATAAAATTTAATTTGAAATTTACTAGACTTAGATCTAGATTTAGATAGGGCCTATGCGCGTAAATCAAGTTACATAAGGAGACTTTACGTATTATTATATAGCACAAAAAAAAACATCAGTGTGGTCAAGAGTCTACATAGCTAAGTTGTTAGTGTAATAGGCTTTCATGCGGGCGGCACAGGTTCTAGACACATCACGTCAATGTTAAAAAAAAAAATTCAATTTGTTGTTTTTTAGATGTGAATGATAAAGTTGCCTATCTGAACTTGGCGGGATACAGGGCAGGTGAAGTAGCGTTCATCTGTTTCTTTGTCCTCAGCATATGAAGGGATAGTGTGGTCAGAGACATGCTAGGCCGGAATCGTTTTCTTAAGGGGGTAGGCTCCAGAAAAAACCAACTTCTTAATTAAAAGCTTTTATTGATTCATTTGTGTATATCTAAGTTAGGGTACTTGTAGGGAAATATTTCCATGCATCAGGGACTCTTTTGAAAATTTGGTTGCCATGGCAACGGCGGCCATCTTGAAAAAAACATCCTTTTTTGGAGTTCTAAAATTTCATAAACTAACATAAATATCGGCTATATAACCATTGATCCTTCTTGTACAAACGCTAATAGAGTCAGCTGGCTAGTTTTTGTAACAGAAATCACTCTAGAAATTTTTTTTTTTTAATTTTCAAAATTTGGTGTGACGAAATTCCAATAAAAATAATGCTAAATTCAATGGAATTTCACCAAATTTTTTTTTGAAAATTTGAAAAAAATATGTCTAGCTGTTTTTCGATAACAAAAATTAGCCAGTTGGCTCTATTGGTGTTAGTACAATAAAGATCAATGATTATATGGGCGGTTTATATGTTACTTTAGGAAATTTTAGAACTCCACATCGGTAGTTTTTTCCAAGATGGCCGTCGTTTCCATGGCAACCATATTTTCAGAAGAGTCCCTGGTACATCCAAATATTTTTCCTTAAGTACCCTAACTTATACATACACAAATAAATGTAAAAGGCTTTTTAATTAAAAAGTTTTTTTCCCCGTTTTTTTCGGGAGCCTATCCCCTTAAACGATAAAAACAAGTTGTCTGAGACTTGGCGGGACACTGGGCAGGTGAAGTAGAGTTGAGTAGATCACCTGTGACGTCAGTATATGAAGGGATAATGTGGTCAGAGCTATGCTCAGCCGAAATCGGTGTTTTTAAAAGATAAAAGACGTCTTTTTGAATGTGGGTTCTGGTTTTTGTGTGATGATAAATGACAGACGTGATGTCATTTATGGATGACCCCCAAAACCCACAGTTATCCAAGGCATGACCGAGTAAGTCTAGTTGTAAATAAAACATGTAAATTACTTAAAAAAAAGTTTCATAAAAATCGTTTTAATAACAAGCTTTATTGTAATAATGCACTAAAAAGTAGAAAATAAATTATAGACTACTATTTAAATAACTATTAAGAAAAAGCGTGGGTCTCTTCCTAAATATTAATAAAGGTATCCAATAGATACTAAAGTGACCCACGCTTTTCTTTATAGTTATTTAAATATTAGTGTATAATTTATTTTCGCCTTTTTAGTGCATTATTACATAAAAGCTTGTTATTAGAACGTTTTTTATGATTTTTTTTACAAGCTTTTATTTAACTTGCTTCCTCTGTCGTCAGTCTGTCGTCAGTCTGTCGTCAGTCTGTCTGTCTAGATCGACTAGTCCTATTGCAATATGCGATCAGATTTCTCCATAAATTGCTATATAAAGTATTATTGAAACTTGAACCTTAATGAATAACACGGCTACTCTATCTATCTATATATATAATTCTCTTCTGGAAGACGCTAGAAAACAAGCTGTAAACGCGATCCCTACCATCTCACCCCTACATGGTCTTAGTGAGCTGTGGTTCACGCTATGTTTACCATCGTGGAGTCGGGTTTAGTGACGGCATTTGGGGCAGATAATTTAGTTTGAAACGATTTTAAACGTTGGGGGGGGGGGGGGGGGGGAAGGAAGGGGGGGGGGGTATGGTCTTTAACGAGCTACTTATAGTGTTTTAAAGAAATATTTTCAGTGTCAGCGTTGGTACTGTCGAATTCACAAATTATGAATTACTGAAAAGTAGAAAAAACAAGAACTAAATAGCGGCGTATGTTATGCCGCGGGCCGGCTCGTATATATAATTCTCTTCTGGGAGCCGTTAGAAAACAAGCTGCAAGCTGCGCCTTGCAGTCCCCTCTCTTCCTTTCTGTCACTACCACCCCCCCCCCATGGTCTGGTGAGCTGTGGTTCACGCTAAATGTTTACAAATCGTAGAGCCGGGTTTAGTGACGGCTATTAGGGGCAGATAATTTAGTTTGAAACGATTTTAAACTTAGAGGAGGTAACTAAGAGGAGGCTGCTTTAAAAGGGGGGGGGGGGCGGGGGAGTATAGGGTAGGGGTTGAGGGAAAGGGGTGGGTAGTGTTTTAAAGCAAATATTTTCAGTGGCAGCATTGGTACTGTCGAATTCACAAATTATGAATTACTGAAAAGTAGAAAATAAAACAACTAAATAGCGGCGTATGATACGCCGCGGGTCGGCTCGTTGTTTATAACACAAAAAGCTGTAGTGGCAGACCCTCCTCCTACACACATCCCCGAACTTCGACCCCCCCCCCCCCTAGGGCACAACTGAGCTGTTAAGACCACGTGACAACAGACACACCATGTTCCCATGATTCCCGTCGCCATCTTCCTTGTTGCTTCCTGTGTAAATGTCGCTATGGAGATCTGAGAGCGACAGATGAAGGCTTTGTGTCCCATCCCGTCTTGAACGTATCACTGCTGCATGCGAGGGCCCCACCAACAAACCTGTCACAAATAGAAGAATTGCTCGTTTTCAGATCATCAAGGAAGTCAAGTCTATTAGGATATAATAATACTAGCTGCATCCCGTGCTCCGCCACGGTAAATCTTTTTTAAATGTACCAACTTGGGAACAGGACAAAACTAAACACAACACAAACGAACGCAAAAAAAAAACACAAACGAAAAAACAAACACAACACTCATAACATAAATACAATTTAAATGCAATCATAAAGGCATATTGCTCACAGTCTAGCCCGTAGCGCCTATTCGCGCCCTTTCCGGTGATTTGCATCCCCCTCAAACTTTCGATTTGCACCCCTGTCCCCCCCCCCCCCCGCCCTAAAACTTTCGATTTCCACCCCCCCCCTCGCATATTTTTTTCCAACCAACTTTGGTGCCCCCTAAGGTCGGCATCCGCGGACACAACCCCCCCCCCCTCGGTACGCCTCTCCTATAAAACCCCTAGCTTGTCCGCAAACCGAAAGATAGAATAATAATTAGTAAACAGTATAAATAATAGGCAGTATTTAAAATATCCTTGTTTTACCTAGAATATTTCACTTTATCCATTCACGCATTTTTTTCCAGTTCTTTAAATTTTAATAAACCGGGAGTGATCTCCCCTAAACTTTCTCGAATATTCTTATATAAAATAACAGGGGATGGGAACTCGGGCTATAGACTTCTAGACATGATTTTTAATCCATTTTAAATACTTAAAGTTTTAAAAATAGAATAAAATCTCGTAGAAAAATTAATTGCACACCAAGTGAACGCGAATAAAAAAGCGCATAATAGTGCGCAATATTATTAGTACTTTTAAAATTTACATTAGTTTTTTGAGAAATCGGAAGTAGCGTAAATAAGTACTTCCGGTCAACGAAAAATTCTCAAAATTTGACAGAAGGTAGAGAATTAGATCTTTTACTTACATATCAAATTTCATTTATCTATCTGAAATAGTACTCAAGTTATAGGCTTTTGAAAAATTCAAAGTAGAAAAAGTACCACTTCCGGTTATCCGAAATCGCTCAAAAGTTGATACGGATCTACGATTTTGATAAAATACTTGTATATGAAATTTCATCAACCTAGCTGTAACGGTACTCAAGTTATCGTGTTTACACACGGACACACACACACACACACACACACACACACAGACACACAGACATACGGACAAGGTTGCAACATTATGTTTTTCCGTATCAGTGAGATGTAAAACGTCGAGATTTGCAAAAATCTCGATTTTTTTTTTGCACGATTACAAGACTTTCTCTATACTTCGTATATACGAGAAAGTAAAAATGTACAATAAAGTTTCATAACTAAAACCATTGCGCACCTAATGAACGTGATGACGCGTCTATAATAGTGCTGAATAGTTGATTAAAAATTATAAGTAATAAACAGTAGGGCCTACATTTAGTGAATAAAATAAATAAAAGTTTGCCTTTTATCAATCCATGCTAATTATAATTTTCTAACAATAATTTCCTCTTACACATCCACATAATTTGCATTCACATTTTGCTAATTATATTATTGAAACACTAATTCCTTCTATGACGAACGTATATTTGCATTCACATTTTTTATTAGCGTGAGTTTAATGTATTTTCAAATTACCTCCTTTGTCAAAATTAGAAAAAAGAGTTAAATTAATTTGATTTTTCTACCATACGGTTATTACGTTATTAAAATGTATCCACTTTTTCTAGGAATATTAACGAAAACTATATTTGACATTGATCCTTTTAATATGTTTTAGCAATGTGCGTGTATTTAATATTCTCTTTACGTTATGCAAAATTGTACAAACAGTGGAAATTATAAAATAGCTCTATGCCGCTATATAAACAAACCCTACTCTAATACTTATAATAAGACACTGCGGTGCACTGAAAAGCACAGCATGGTGCGTAGTTTACTTTTATAGTCCCAAAATCTATAGCGATGACGGACGGACGGACGGAAGGAAGGAAGGACAGACACAGCCTGCTTATATTATAGATTATAAACTGGCAACTAAATAGTTATTTGAATATTTTTGGTAAAGAGGCTGTTTGTTAAATAAGATATTGGGTTTACATTTCCGATTGCCGTCACCGTGATAGTGGGCTTTATATTGCTGTGATTCAGATTGTGGATTTTATTAGCATGTCTAGGTGTGTTAAAAGCTATTTATAGACATATCGACACAAATGACGTAACATATTATGTCAATATTAGTTGCGTACATCAAATAGCGAATTGCTGTCAGCGGGCGTTCTCTAATGTGGATGTTCTGTGGACGTTCTCTAATGTGGATGTTCTGTGGACGTTCTGTGGACGTCCTGTGGACGTGCTGTGGACGTGCTGTGTACGTTCTGTGGACGTCCTGTGGACGTTCTGTGGACGTTCTGTGGACGTTCTGTGGACGTTCTGTGGACGTTCTGTAGACGTCCTGTGGACGTTCTGTGGACGTTCTGTGGACATTCTGTGGACGTCCTGTGGACGTTCTGTGGACGTTCTGTGGACGTTCTCTAATGTGGACGTTCTGTGCACGTTCTGTGGACGTCCTATGGACGTTCTCTAATGTGGACGTTCTGTGGACGTCCTGTGGACGTGCTGTGGACGTGCTGTGGACGTTCTGTGGACGTTCTGTGGACGTTCTGTGGACGTTCTGTGGACGTTCTGTAGACGTCCTGTGGACGTTCTGTGGACGTTCTGTGGACGTCCTGTGGACGTTCTGTGGACGTTCTGTGGACGTTCTCTAATGTGGACGTTCTGTGCACGTTCTGTGGACGTCCTATGGACGTTCTGTGGACGTTCTGTGGACGTTCTGTGGACGTTCTGTGGACGTTCTGTAGACGTCCTGTGGACGTTCTGTGGACGTTCTGTGGACGTCCTGTGGACGTTCTGTGGACGTTCTGTGGACGTTCTCTAATGTCGACGTTCTGTCGACGTTCTGTCGACGTTCTGTGGACGTTCTGTGGACGTTCTGTGGACGTTCTGTGGAAGTTCTGTGGACGTTCTGTGGACGTTCTGTGGACGTTCTGTGGACGTCATGTGGACGTTCTGTGGACGTTCTCTAATGTGGACGTTCTGTGGACGTTCTGTGGACGTGCTGTGGACGTTCTCTAATGTGGACGTTCTGTGGACGTTCTGTGGACGTTCTGTGGACGTGCTGTGGATGTTCTGTGGATGTTCTGTGGACGTTCTGTGGACGTTCTATGGACGTTCTGTGGACGTTCTGTGGACGTTCTGTGGACGTTCTGTGGACGTTCTGTGGACGTTCTGTGGACTTTCTGTGGACGTTCTCTATTGTGGATGTTCTGTGGACGTTCTGTGGACGTTCTGTGGACGTTCTGTGGACGTTCTGTGGACGTTCTCTAATGTTGACGTTCTGTGGACGTTCTATGGACGTTCTTTAGACGTGCTGTGGACATTCTGTGGACGTTCTCTAATGTTGACGTTCTGTGGACGTTCTGTGGACGCTGTCTAACGTTGACGTTCTGTGGACGTTCTATGGACGTGCTGTGGACGTTTTGTGGACGTTCTCTAATGTTGACGTTCTGTGGACGTTCTGTGGACGTTCTTTGGACGTTCTGTGGACGTTCTGTGGACGTTCTCTAATGTGGACGTTCTCTAATGTGGACGTTCTGCGGACGTTCTGTGGACGTTCTGTGGACGTTCTGTGGACGTTCTGTGGACGTTCTGTGGACGTTCTTTGGACGTCCTGTGGACGTGCTGTGGACGTTCTATAATGTGGACGTTCTGTGGACGTTCTGTGGACGTTCTGTGGACGTTCTGTGGACGTTCTGTGGACGTTCTGTGGACGTTCTGTGGACGTGCTGTGGACGTTCTGTGGACGTTCTGTGGACGTTCTGTGGACGTTCTGTGGGACGTTCTGTGGACGTCATGTGGACGTTCTGTGGACGTTCTCTAATGTGGACGTTCTGTGGACGTTCTGTGGACGTGCTGTGGACGTTCTGTGGACGTTCTCTAATGTGGACGTTCTGTGGACGTTCTGTGGACGTTCTGTGGACGTGCTGTGGATGTTCTGTGGACGTTCTGTGGACGTTCTGTGGACGTTCTATGGACGTTCTGTGGACGTTCTGTGGACGTTCTGTGGACGTTCTGTGGACGTTCTGTGGACTTTCTGTGGACGTTCTCTATTGTGGATGTTCTGTGGACGTTCTGTGAACGTTCTGTGGACGTTCTGTGGACGTTCTGTGGACGTTCTCTAATGTTGACGTTCTGTGGACGTTCTATGGACGTTCTGTAGACGTGCTGTGGACGTTCTGTGGACGTTCTCTAATGTTGACGTTCTGTGGACGTTCTGTGGACGTTCTGTGGACGTGCTGTGGACGTTCTGTGGACGTTGTCTAACGTTGACGTTCTGTGGACGTTCTATGGACGTGCTGTGGACGTTTTGTGGACGTTCTCTAATGTTGACGTTCTGTGGACGTTCTGTGGACGTTCTGTGGACGTTCTTTGGACGTTCTGTGGACGTTCTGTGGACGTTCTCTAATGTGGACGTTCTGTGGACGTTCTGTGGACGTTCTGTGGACGTTCTGTGGACGTTCTGTGGACGTTCTGTGGACGTTCTTTGGACGTCCTGTGGACGTGCTGTTGACGTTCTATAATGTGGACGTTCTGTGGACGTTCTGTGGACGTTCTGTGGACGTTCTGTGGACGTTCTGTGGACGTTCTGTTGACGTTCTGTGGACGTGCTGTGGACGTTCTGTGTACGTTCTGTGGACGTTCTGTGGACGTTCTGTGGACGTTCTATGGACGTTCTCTAATGTGGACGTTCTTTGGACGTTCTGTGGACGTTCTGTGGACGTTCTGTGGACGTTCTGTGGACGTTCTGAGGACGTTCTCTAATGTGGACGTTCTGTGGACGTTCTGTGGACGTCCTGTGGACGTGCTGTGGACGTTCTGTGGACGTTCTGTAGACGTTCTCTAATGTGGACGTTCTCTAATGTGGACGTTCTGTCGACGTTCTGTGGACGTCATGTGGACGTTCTGTGGACGTTCTCTAATGTGGACGTTCTGTGGACGTTCTGTGGACGTGCTGTGGACGTTCTGTGGACGTTCTGTGGACGTTCTCTGGACGTTCTGTGGACGTTCTGTGGACGTTCTGTGGACGTTCTGTGGACGTTCTGTGGACGTCCTGTGGACGTTCTGTGAACGTTCTCTAATGTGGACGTTCTGTGGACGTCCTGTGGACGTTCTGTGAACGTTCTCTAATGTGGACGTTCTGTGGACGTTCTGTGGACGTCCTGTGGACGTTCTGTGGACGTTCTGTGGACGTTCTCTAATGTGGACGTTCTGTGGACGTTCTCTAATGTGGACGTTCTGTGGACGTTCTCTAATGTGGACGTTCTGTGGACGTTCTGTGGACGTTCTCTAATGTGGACGTTCTGTGGACGTCCTGTGGACGTCCTGTGGACGTTCTGTGGACGTCCTGTGGACGTGCTGTGGACGTTCTGTGGACGTTCAGTGGACGTTCTGTGGACGTCCTGTGGACGCTCTGTGGACGTTCTGTGGACGTTCTTTGGACGTTCTGTGGACGTTCTTTGGACGTTCTGTGGACTTTCTGTGGACGTTCTGTGGACGTCCTGTGGACGTTCTGTGGACGTTCTGTGGACGTTCTGTGGACGTTCTGTGGACGTTCTGTGGACGTTCTGTGGACGTTCTGTGGACGTCCTGTGGACGTTCTGAGGACGTTCTGTGGACGTTCTGAGGACGTTCTCTACTTTAAAACAGAAGTCTGCTTATCGTCAGACAAGATTTCTCACGCGACGAAAACTAAATTTGTGAAGAAGACTAAATTTGTGACGCGACGAAGACTGAATTTGTGACGCGACGAAGACTAAATTTATGACGCGACGAAGACTAAATTTGTGACGCGACGAAGACTAAATTTGTGACGCGACGAAGACTAAATTTGTGACGCGACGAAGACTAAATTTGTGACGCGACGAAGACTAAATTTGTGACGCAACGAAGACTAAATTTGTGACGCGACGAAGACTGAATTTGTGACGCGACGAAGACTAAATTTGTGACGCAACGAAGACTAAATTTGTGACGCGACGAAGACTAATTTGTGACGCGACGAAGACTAAATTTGTGACGCAACGAAGACTAAATTTGTGACGCGACGAAGACTAAATTTGTGACGCGACGAAGACTAAATATGTGACGCGACGAAGACTAAATATGTGACGTGACTGACTCCGAAATGTTTGGTTTAAGCAGGATAAGACTTTTTTTCCGCTTGCCTATCTGACATGAGATTGTAGTCTATGAATTATTCACTTGACAACTGGGGCAAATTTATGTTCCCCCCCCCCCCCCCCCCTAAATTTTGCCTACAGGAGACAACTGCGCCATATTTGTCTTGTCTAAATTCTGTCAGAGGTGGCGGAGGAGGAATGTGAAGGGTCAGAGGTCAGAAAAATAAATGGAGGGACACATTAACAGAGTGCACGAAAAACAGAAAATCTTGAAAGAAAGAAATTATACGAGTAAGACATTTACAAAATGGGATCATTAGGAGATTTCTGATATGCCTAAATTTCTACACGTTATGTTGGTAACACATTAGATTAGCAACACATTAGATTAGCAACACATTAGGTTAGCAACACATTAGATTAGCAACACATTAGATTAGCAACACATTAGATTAGCAACACATTAGGTTAGCAACACATTAGATTAGCAACACATTAGGTTAGCAACACATTAGGTTAGCAACATATTAGGATAGCAACACATTAGATTAGCAACACATTAGATTAGTATACTCTGTATACAAATGGTGTTATTTATTTTGCACGATAACAATACTTTCTGCGTACAAATAGTGAAATAAATTAAACTAATATTCTATTTAAATACTGATGATGATTGCATTATAATTTATATTACATAATTTTAAATTACAAAAAAAACAAACGATTTTCATTGTTTACGATCAAGGAGAACAGGGAATGCCAAAGGAGAAGTAGAGGTACACAAAAGAAGAGCAACTGACAAATGTATCTGTATCTGTATCTGTATCTGTATCTGTATCTGTATCTGTATCTGTATCTGTATCTGTATCTGTATCTGTATCTGTATCTGTATCTGTATCTGTATCTGTATCTGCATCTGCATCTGCATCTGCATCTGCATCTGCGTCTGCGTCTGCGTCTGCGTCTGTGGCTGTGGCTGTGGCTGTGGCTGTGTCTGTGGCTGTAGCTGTGTCTGTGTCTGTGTCTGTGTCTGTGTCTGTGTCTGTGTCTGTGTCTGTGTCTGTGTCTGTGTCTGTGGCTGTGTCTGTGTCTGTGTCTGTGGCTGTGTCTATGTCTATTTCTATATCTATTTTCATCAGGTATATTTTGCAAAGTTGAGATAACGATTTTTATCCTTTTATCCTAGGACCTTTGACCACAGGTGCTTTGACCATAGGGGGTTTGACCATAGGGGGTTTGACCACAGCGGGGCTTTGACCATAGCGGTGCTTTGACCATAGGGGGTTTGATCATAGGGGGTTTGACCATAGGGGGTTTGACCACAGGTGTTTTCTCAGGACAGGGTCTTTGATCACAGGTGGTCTATCAACGGGTGTTTGATCACAGGTGGTCTATCAACGGGTGTTTGATCACAGGTGGTCTATCAACGGGTGTTTGATCACAAGCGCTGCGTCCGGCTTTGATCATAAGGTCTTTGATCTCAGGTGGTTTGTCCAATGCTGTCCATATATGGTAAGGATTTATTTTAAAAGTTGCTAAATTATATTTAAAATTTCGACATGATGTAATAATATGTTAAATCATCATGTATAAATACAAGTCATCTAAACTACTCTATGTCAAAACCATGGAGAATCTTGGAGAGTATAGCACGTCGAAAAAAGGTAAAAGAACTTTGTTGTATCGTGGCCACGAGTTTTGGTTACACAGAGAACGCCAGGACGGGTCACGCGTTTGGCGGTGTACGAAGAATCGCACTTGTAAGTGCAAAGCTTCATTAGTTGCACAAGATCTTATTATAAATCTATGAGGCCTAGCACCAGCCTTTATGTGGAGACTAAAATATAGTTCTTGGCTTTTTTTTAATACATGTTAATTTCTATTAACGTACTCTCAGGAAACATGTATAAAATCGTGTTAATTGTATCACACCTATGATCGAAGCCGGACACAGCGCTTGTGATCAAACACCCGTTGATAGACCACCCGTGATCAATGACCCTCTGCTAAGAAAACACATGTGGTCAAACCCCCTATGGTCAAACCCCCTATGATCAAACCACCTATGGTCAAAGCACCGCTATGGTCAAAGGCCCGCTGTGGTCAAACCCCCTATGATCAAACCCCCTATGATCAAACCCCCTATGGTCAAAGCACCGCTATGGTCAAAGGCCCGCTGTGGTCAAACCCCCTATGGTCAAACCCCCTATGATCAAACCCCCTATGGTCAAAGCACCTGTGGTCAAAGGTCCGCGCACCGATACTCTATCATTAGCAGGTCTCATCCCCCCCCCCCCCTCTACAGCCAACCTTTGTCGGGATTTCTCAAATTAGCACTTAAAAGACTACTTAACTCACTCTAATTAATCATTAAATTAAGTAGAACTATCATTTTTCAATATATAATTTGCTACTTTTTTGCTTTGGTGTCACCTCACTAAATGGTGTCACCCGGTGCGGTCCTAACCCCCGCCTCCCCCCCCCCCCTCGCTATGCCTCTACACACATGGGTTTTATATAATATTAGTATGTTTTTAAACACTATTTGTTAGTTTAGTAAATATGTGATGCTACTGAAATCAATTAAATAACTGTGTTGAGCGTGAATGTTGGTTGAACTTACCCAGCAGAGATGTGGAGACGAAAACCCAAAACTTGTGTTGTAGCATGCCGAGTACACGGGTCTTGAGCTGCCTAAAGAAAATATATATTTTAAAAAATTGTACTCCGCCTTACGATCGTGTTGCTAGTGGGCAGGTGGACTAAACTACCTGGCGTCAAGTCTTTTGGGCGAGTCCATTATGTTTTATTGTTTGTCATCCTCTTGACACGCGAGATCCTACGACAACAGGGTCCGGTTTTATTTTTAGCTTGGATATAAAACACAGACAAACACAAGGTAGGGTTCGAAAAGACAAGCTGGAATTTAGAGAAATATTCAAGCCAACTCATGTTTAAGACATTACACACACAGACACACAGAAACAAACACACAAACACACACACACACACACACACACATGTGTGTGTGTGTGTGAAATATTACCCTTTAACGTAAAAAGGAGGAACAGGTTAATTATTACATTAATTATTATATTAATTATTTCATAGAATTATTTCAAAAGCTTAAATATTTTAAAATGTACCCAGTAACTCAAATGATTACAAAATAGAATGCATTTCTTTTTCGTTTCAACTGAATATAAAATACGTTGAAAAGTTTTAAATTTAGAAAGTTACTTCCCTTACACTAAGGTCACATCAAGCGGTCATCTTTTTTTGTTTTTCCCGTGGGTCAATGCACCAGCTCAGAGTTTTCAATTCTTTGAATTCACGTCATTTACTATGTTTATAGAAGTAAGTTTTTAATTCACGTCATATACTATGTTTACAGAAGTAAGTTTTTAATTCACGTCATTTACTATGTTTATAGAAGTAAGTTTTTAATTCACGTCATTTACTATGTTTATAGAAGTAAGTTTTTAATTCACGTCATTTACTATGTTTATAGAAGTAAGTTTTTAATTCACGTCATTTACTATGTTTATAGAAGTAAGTTTTTAATTCACGTCATTTACTATGTTTATAGAAGTAAGTTTTTAATTCACGTCATTTACTATGTTTATAGAAGTAAGTTTTTAATTCACGTCATTTACTATGTTTATAGAAGTAAGTTTTTAATTCACGTCATTTACTATGTTTATAGAAGTAAGTTTTTAATTCACGTCATTTACTATGTTTATAAAATTAATTTTTTAATTCACGTCATTTACTATGTTTATGGAAGTAAGTTTTTAATTCACGTCATTTACTATGTTTATAGAAGTAAGTTTCCTTGGCAGCCTTAATCCATTAACGCTTTTCCCCAGAAGCGACACGTTTTTTTAAAATAAAATATTTTTTTTTACAAGGTTTATTTCGCTTCCTCCGTCTGTCTGTCGTGCTTTTGTCTGTTGTCCGTCTGTCTGTCGAGCTTTTGTCTGTTGTCCATCATCCATCAAAACTGCGGGGACAATCTGACATATAATTCGACTTAATTAGATACATAACTAATTTGTTTATGAATTAATTAAAAATGTGTATATTAAGTGCTATTCACCGCCATTGTACGCGAATTATACGGCAAGTACCCTAACCCTAACCCTAACCCCAACCCTAACCCTAACCCTAACCCTAACCCCAACCCTAACCCTAAACCTAACCCCAACCCTAATCCTAACCCCAACCCCAACCCTAACCCTAACCCCAACCCCAACCCCAACCCCAACCCCAACCCTAACCCTAACCCTAACATTAACCCTAACCCTAACCCTAACCCTAACCCTAACCCTAATCCTAACCCTAACCCTAACCCTAACCCTAATCCTAATCCTAATCCTAATCCTAACCCTAACCCTAACCCTAACCCTAAACCTAACCCTAACATTAACCCTAACCCTAACGCTAACGCTAACCCTAACCCCAACCCCAACCCTAATCTTAATCATAACCTTAACCCTAACATTAACGCTAACATTAACCCTAATCCTAACCAGCGTCTGACAACTTTTCCTAACATATTATGTAAACTAGCCGTCTCGACCAGGCCCTGCACTGGCCTCTGTGCAAACCGTACCTGTAAAGGACCTTGATTTGTGTGTCTGTTAAGTAGTAAATACCAGGCGATATCAGGGTTTAGAAATACATTAGATAATTTTCAAATTAAATGTCTATATGCACATATTTTGTGAAAATATATGTATTAAGTTTCAAACTAAATGTCTATATGCAAAGATTTTGTGAAAATATATATATTAAGTTTCAAATTAAATGTCTATATGCAAAGATTTTGTGAAAATACATGTATTAAGTTTCAAATTAAATGTCTATATGCACATATTTTGTAAAAATACATATATTAAGTTTCAAATTAAATGTCTATATGCAAAGATTTGGTGAAAATACATATATTAAGTTTCAAATTAAATGTCTATATGCAAATATTTTGTGAAAATACATATATTAAGTTTGAAACTAAATGTCTATATGCACATATTTTGTAAAAATACATATATTAAGTTTAAAATTAAATGTCTATATGCACATATTTTGTGAAAATACATATATTAAGTTTCAAATTATATGTCTATATGCAAAGATTTTGTGAAAATACATATTTTAAGTTTCAAATTAAATGTCTATATGCACATATTTTGTAAAAATACATATATTAAGTTTCAAATTAAATGTCTATATGCACATAATTTGTGAAAATACATATATTAAGTTTCAAACTATATGTCTATATGCAAATATTTTGTGAAAATACATATATTAAGTTTCAAATTAAATGTCTAAAATATTCAAATATTTTGTGAAAATATATATCTTGGGCACAAACGGGACAAGATTATGATATAAAAAATGTATACTTGTTTAAGATATATAATTTATAATAGTAATTGGTCAAAACAAAATCTTCGTTTATCTGTACACGAAAAATCTATCGAGAATTGAACACTTTATCTGTAAGATAAAACTAAAATTTAAACAGAAATGAAACTTAACAGGCGACGATTTTTCGATTTGTTTCATGTGACAACATTCCCATTGTCAGTTTTTGCTTTTGTTTTTTAGCTTGCAACTGATGGCCATCAAACCTTGTCAATGAGAAAAGCTCATCGGAAGGAAAAGGTTATTGTAAAAATATTTTACGGTCATAATACCACTGTCAGTTATTTAAAACTTTTTCTAAATCAGTATGTATGTATAATTGTATTTGTATGTTTAGAACATTCATCTAAAAACTTACGCTATGTTCACTCTGTGTTGGTTATTCCCCCCCCCCCCCACCTCACCACCATTGTGTGGAGCGACATTTACGTCACAACTAGGTATACGCTGGGTAGGATAATTGACCTAAAGTGACCGGACAGTGGTGAATAAAGTTGAACCAACTCACCCCGAAACTGATGTTAAGTACGTTTGGGAAAACACGTAATGAGGTACCATTATATCATGCCGCCAGATCATAGCTTTTAAAAAAGGTAAAATTCTGTAAATATTCTTTTGCTGTGAGTAATACAGTGATTTAACCCATACCTTATCATTATGTTAATAATGGCCTTTAAAAAACACAAAAATCAGTAGCTAATTAAATAAATCGGGAGTGATCTCCCCTAAACTTTCTCGAATATTCTTATATAATACAACAGGGGATGGCAACTCGGAAAATATACAAGATTTTTAATCAATTTTCAATTACTTAAACTTTTAAAAATAGAATAAAATCTCGTCGAAAAAAGAATTGCACACCTAGTGAACGCAAAACCAAATGTGTATAATAGGGCGAAATATTATTAGTACTTTATAAATTCACATGCGTGTTTTGAGAAATCGGAAATAGCAAAAAATACTACTTCCAATCAACGGAAATTACTCAAAATTTGAAAGAAGGCAAAGTATTAGATCTTCTACTTACATGTGAAATTTCATTTATCTATCTGAAAAAGTACTGAAATTATAGGCTTTTGAAAAATTAAAAGCAGAAAAAGTTCCATTTCCGGTTATCAGAGATCGCTCAAAAGCTGACTCAGACCTACGATTTTGATGTAATACTTATATATAAAATTTCGTCATCCTAGCTGTAACGGTACTCAAGTTATCGTGTTTACTGACAAAGACACACACACACACATAGGCCTACACACACACACACACAGATAGAGAAATACAGACAAGATTACAAAAATATGCTTTTCCAACTCAGGGGGGTGTAAAACGTCAAGATTTGCAAAAAAATCTCGTTTTTTTTCTACGATTACAAGACTTTCTCTATACTTCGCATATACGAGAAAGTAACAATGAATGAACTGCAAGATCAATATTTCAGTAAAATGTAGGCTATTATTCTGAAAGTTCACCTATTAAATTCAGTTTCTCAAAAATAAAAATAGTAAAAACACCTTTTAATAACAAGCTTTTATGTAATAATGCACTCACAAAGAGAAAATAAATTATAGACTACTATTTAAAAAACAATAAAGAAAAGCGTGGGCCACTTCAGTATCTATTGGATACCTTTACTAATGTTTAGGAAGAGACCCACGCTTTTCTTTATAGTTCTTCAAAAAGTAGTCTATATTTTATTTTCTCCCTTTTAGTGCATTATTACATAAAAGCTTGTTATTAAAACATTTTTACAAGCTTTTATTTAATTCACTTCCTCGTCAGTCTGTCGCCAGTCTGTCTAGATCGAAACGCCGGAGCGAAAATTCGGACACTTCTACTAGACAGATACGGTTCACAGTTGGCACGTGGGTCAAGACATGAAGACAATGCAATCTGATATTAAATTTGACTTAATTTGATGCCTAATTATTTTTTATGAATTAATTAAAATTTTGACCAAATTAGTAGGCATTTCTATCCAACCACACCACACGCGTCATCACGTTCAATAGCGTGTCATTACGTTCAATAGGCGCGCAATGGTTTTTAGTCATGTAACTCTAGTGTAAATAAAAACATGTAAAGTACTAAAAAAACTGTCATAAAAAACGTTTAAATAACAGTCTTTCATGTAATAATGCACTAAAAAGTAGAAAATAAATTATACACTACTATTTAAATAACTATAAAGAAAAGCGTGGGTCTCTTCCTAAACATTAGTAAAGGTATCCATTAGATACTAAAGTGACCCACGCTTTTCTTTATAGTTATTTAAATAGTAGTCTATAATTTATTTTCTACTTTTTAGTGCATTAGTACATAAAAGCTTGTTATTAAATCATTTTTTATGAAAAAA